GAGGCAGGGGAGGCAGAGCCTCACCTGCCATTATTGGAAACTAATAATTATTTTAGTTTAAATATATAATTTATATCCACTGTCCTATGCTTTTAATGTATATTCGGCACGGTTCCCATCAGTTTTGATCATTTCTGAAGTCAAAATCGCCGAAATCCCGTTATTCCTATTCAAAGAGACGAGGTGAGGCAGCGCTCCTGCGTGCCTCACCCCAGACCGCTCCCTCACAGTGTGTGTGTGTGTGTCTGAGTGCACTCAGCTCGTGCAGTTGATATATCACCGTTTGTTTCAAATATCCTGCTTTAAAAACATTTTTTAAACTCCTCTTAGTGTTTAGTAGTGTATTGCACGTATGTGTGTACAATTTATATTTAGTTTAAGTCTTTTGATCGTAGATGAACACACAAGGAAAAAGCTTGGCGTGAGGCAGGCGGTATCTGTGCCTCACCGCTAGGGGTGATAGTGAGCATAAAGTTCATACCAGAGTTGCTAACAAACAATCAGCCCAAAATGCTATTTCTTTTGCTGGAAAATGGATGATTTGAATGAAGATTTTTTTTCTCAATTGGACTTTCAAACAAAGAAAGAATTAATATAGACTGGGAGACCACCACTGGACTTACGAGGTTAGTCCGGCTGCGGGGGAGGAGTTTGTTAATCTGTGTTTTATGTTGAACATTGACAGATACCGGCAAAGTAGTGCTTTTCCGAAAAACACTGATTCAAACACTGCTCAAGAGTTCTGCAACTTGTTTAAATTATTGTTTATGTTCCTCGCGTCTCTCTCTCCTCGCGTCTCTCTCTCCTCGCGTCTCCGTCTCTCTCTGTCTCTCTGCTCCTCTCTGTCTCTCTCTGCTCCTCTCTGTCTCTCTCTGCTCCTCTCTCCTCGCGTCTCTCTCTCCTCGCGTCTCTGTCTCTCTCTGCTCCTCGCGTCTCCGTCTCTCTGCTCCTCTCTGTCTCTCTCTGCTCCTCTCTCCTCGCGTCTCTCTCTCCTCGCGTCTCTCGCACCTGCGCTTCTTAAAGATGTTGTTTGATGCGGAGCAGAGTCAGCAGCTAGATTTGTTGTGAGATTATTAAAAGAAGCTGGTTCTCTTATCTTTACAGTATATAAAGTTTGTGGATGTCATTGCATTGGTGATTAAATGCTATTTTATTTGAATAATGATTGTAAATCTGACTTTTAAAGTCAGTGCCTCCCCAATCACAAACCTCACCGCACGTCCCTGGTCAGGACTAAACATGGGGAGAGATTTGCATGAATCGGAAAGCCTGAAATACAGGAAGAGATTTTCATGCAAATCTCTTCCTCAAAATGTGAGACAGGCTTCTGCAAATTCTGAAAATGTTGAAATCCAGGTTAAACAGTTCTGTGTTGACAACTGAAGGATTGCATCGTCACTATTTTTCAATGTATTTTCAATATTATAATTTGTTTTTATTTTATTTTCTTGTTATTGTTGCACATGTTGAGTATGAACTGTGCTATACAAATAAGCTTGCTTTGTCTTGCCTAGATACAAAAAGGCCTCTTTGTGGACAGTTTTAGCTGGAAAGCATAATCTTGACAATTTGAATGAAACACGTCAGCAGGTTTGTTTTTCCCTCCTTTGTTTTGAGTTTACAGTATGCTTAGAAGTATACAAAATATTTGTTTCTGCAGGTAGTTGCCGTGAGCAGAATCATCAGCCACACGGACTACAACCCTCGCACAAAAGAGCACGACATTGCCTTGTTAAAGCTGCAGAAACGGCTCGTCTTCAATGAGTTTGTGAGGCCGATCCACATCTGGATGAGGAGCCTGCCCCTGTTCACCGAGTGCACCATCACAGGCTGGGGCTCCTCTAGAGAGAGTATGTACGGTTAGAGGGGGAGAGGGAGAGGGCCCTTGGTATGATTGTCTCTGCCTTGATTTGCAGATGGACCTCGTATGAACAAATTACAGGAAGTAAACGTCACCATCCTCCCCACTGATGTGTGCAATAAATATTATGCTGGTCAAATTCTCAACACAATGTTCTGTGCAGGAAAGGAAGAAGGCGGTGCGGACGCCTGTCAGGTACGAGCCCTGAAGCTGACGTTGTCTTTGTGAATCTTATCATGGGTTCTGGTCTCTCCCAGTCTGTCCAGGGAGTGGAGTGGTTTTAATCGTTAATTATTGATGCCTTGTGTTTGCAATACTTATGTGGCCATACCTGCATGTGAAAGCTAGGTCCCGTCAGACCTCTGAAGCTAAGCAGGGCAGGGCCTGGTTAGAACTGTGATGGGAGACATCTGGGAACACCGGGTGCCACAGTGGGGTGGCAGTAAAGTGCTTCAAAGTTATGTACTTCAGAGTTAGTCTGGAGTGAATAAATAATGACATGTGGAGCATTTTTTTCAGTCTTTGAGCGTCCAAAAAAGCGCTATATAAAACATATTTATTATTAAATGTTGTCAGTGGGATTAACTGTCTACAGCATGTTTATTTCAGGGAGATTCTGGGGGGCCCTTATCCTGCTTTAATGGGAGCAGGTATGAGCTCATAGGGACTGTAAGCTGGGGTGTTGGCTGTGGACGTGCCAAAAAGCCTGGCGTCTACACAAAATTACAGGATTTTGTTCCATGGATCACTGATGTCACAAGTAAAGCACAGAAAACCATTTTACCAATTAAATGTGATTCATTGCACTTTTCATGCTCACGTTTAGCCTTTTTTGTTTTCACAGATGGGACACCAGATAAAGCTCCAAAGACAGGTTTGTTTCAAGAATATTATTGGACATGTTTTAGCATTTTAGAATGTTTTTGTTTTATTTTACAGAAGATCAATGTGGAAAACAAAAGGTCAAATCATGTGAGAAAGTTCCCCTCCCTGCTGCGATGCACCAGTCCGAGGACGGTCTAGTGTCTGTTCTGAACATCAGTGAGTCCTGTCCATCTTACTGGCCATGGCAGGTCAGTATACAATACCGAGGGCACCATTACTGCAGCGGGACCCTCATCCACGAGAAGTTTGTCATCACAGCACAGCACTGCCATGTCTCGTAAGGGGAGACATTCAAAGTTTTAGCTCTTAATTTTTTAACAAATACAAAAATGGTAAAACTGCTTGTTTTTACCCTTTCTGCTCGTCAGGCTCGAGGACCAAGTGGTTCTGGGAATACATGATCTTGAGTATTCTTCTTCAAGAGGTGTTCCTATACAAAAAGTTATCAACCTACGTCGGGACCGAAGCTTTCCTCCAGGATTTGACTTGGCGCTCATCGAGCTCAGCGTTCCTGCAAGACTTGGTACTGAGCGTACTCCAGACATGACCAAAGATTTGACTGGTAAGACATTCATGGCTTTATTGGTTCAGGCAGAAACGTGGCTCCCATCTGTGTCCCTGACGAGGAAGAGGATGGTGATTTGGACTCCAGCTGGTCCTGTGTTGTCACTGGATGGGGATCAACTCAGTCTTCAGGTTAAATTCTATAAAACACATTCATTGTAACGTGATTTTCTACTTTCAATATTTCAAACATATAGGAATTTTAGATAACCTGCATCTTAATTTTAAAATAACTTGGTTACGTTTTGAGAAAAAACTAGTATATAAGCTATACACAGTTCAAACAATTCTTAAAGGCTGAAATATAATTAACTGAAACATTTAAATGCACAAACACTTTAATTGTGAGAATCTTTTCTCATATTAGTACTAAAGTTAGACCTGTATTGTGCAACAGCCTTTGACGGTTTATATACATTATTAAAAAGGAATGAGGAAAATAATGCTTCTGCTCAACAAGACAATACTAATTATATTGACAATCTTTAAAATATACTCTATATTACTACCATTTCTCTTATTCCTTTTTTAATGGCAAAGAAATTGGCAAATTTGGTCATTAATATTTCTCATGAATGTGAGTAGGTGTGAATCCAAGCCGTCTGCACCATACTGCGGTGACACTGGTGAACCAGACCACCTGCAGAGAGAAGTGGGGTCAAGACACCATCAAAGACTCCCACATTTGTTGTCATCCTGCAGCTTCTACATCCTGCCTGGTAATCCCACAGACCTACAGTATTTATTATGAACCAAAGTGTTTATATCAGAGAATAGACTTTAAAACAGCTCTGCTTGTGTACAAGTCTCTCCATAGCCTCGCACCAAAATATATTAGTGACATGTTAGTCCCATATGAACCAGCCCGGACTCTGAGGAGCACAGGGACTGGACTCCTGTTAGTGCCCAGAGTCAGAACTAAACATGGGGAGGCTGCTTTTCAGATTAATGCTGCTAAAATCTGGAACAGTCTTCCTGAAGATGTGAGACAGGCCTCCTCTCTGACAATGTTTAAAACCAGGTTAAAGACGGTTCTGTTTAACTGTGCATACAACTGAGGGATTTTATATTTTTATCTTTCTTTTTAATGTTCTGTGATAATTTATGATTTTAATGCTTTCTTGTTTTGTTCAGCACTTTGAATTGCCTTGTGTATGAATTGTGCTATATAAATAAACTTGCCTTGCCTTGCCTTGCCTTGCCTATACCCAGTGTTTGTGTATCAGGGCGACTCAGGAGCTCCACTGTTCTGCCGTAAGCGAGGGTCCTACTTCCTGTTCGGAGTGGTGACATGGAGTAGAAGTAAATGCAACAGTGAATACCCAGCAGTCTTCACTAGAGTGCCACATTTCTCTGAATGGATCTCGGAGACGACTGGAGACTAGAGAAGCGTCCAATACAAGAACTCTTAAATGTTCAATGTGTTTTGTTTTCTAGAACAAAAGCTGGTATTAACCTTCTGTAGACAAATCATCTCAAGAACATGTGGGGGCAATCTTTTATGTATTAACATTCATTGTATTTACTACATGAATATAAAGTAATACATTTTAATCCATGTTTTGTACATAATCTGTAGAAGCACATTTTAGATAAAAGAAAATTATGTTAGTCAGTTAAACAAAGTCAGTTTGTCTTAATATTGGATCGTCTGAGGTAATGGGTCCATATTGCCGACACAACATGAGCTTCAGCTGTCGGGAAGAAGGTCAAATGAAATGCCATTGCTCTCCCCGTTTTGGTCAGCAACCTGAAAAAACAAAACTTCTCAAACCTGTTTTAAGACGTGTCTTTATGAACTTACTTTGGGCTCTGAAGTGTTTGAAGGCGACTCCAGTTGTGCCTCAGATTCATAAACAGGGTTAGAGATGCTTTGGCAGCCATCTGCAGCAGTATTATCTTGGTCAGCATCATCCTCCTGTGATGGTCATTAAATATTTAAAGTAATCTCTTCAACGGTCTGTTCATTAATATACGCAACCAAATTAAGAATACCTTGAAGTAGTGAAATCTGAATGGTTTGGTGTTTTGTTTATAGAAATTCAAACCAACTATGGCAACTCCCACCAAAAGAATGACCAACAGAACCACGCCAACACCCAGCCCAGCCTTGTGAGCTACATGCATCTAATGAACCAACAGGAGGAAAAGTGTCAGAATCATAATAGGGCTGTTGTAACAGGATCATATACTACCTCTGCCTGAGGAGGCGGGGCCTTCAGAGGACCCTGAAGTACGTGAATGATTCCATTTGAAGTCATGTCAGAGTTGATTACAAAGCGATCATTGATGTACCGTGATGACTAAAGAGGTAAAATGACATCAGCGGTAATCATTTAATCTTTCAAAAACAAAACATTTGGGGAAATAATGATTAAATATTAGGGATGGGACGAGACACAAGATTGGCAGGACTTCAGAAAATATGAACTAAAATGATGAAATAAACAGGCTGGATTTAGGACTTCCATCTTCAGTTTCACATTAAGCTAGTCATGGGAATTCTCCCTGGTTTCATGCAGAAGGAATTCGATTCTGTTAAGTGGGGTCAGGATTTCTTACTGGCAGTTAATGGATCTAAAACTAGGGACATGGTCTTACGTGCTAAAAGAGTGTAACATGCCCTGTCCTCCACTGCCTGAAGTCAGAGGTCAGGAGATCCAGGGTCTCCTTTAAGCTGCTAGGAGTAAAAATCTCCTGATTTATCATGGGACCCTCTCCAAAACAATCCCAGGATACACAATCTCTCTGTGGCTCGACAAGCTGCTTCCCCTGATGCCCTGAAGCAGATCTATGCTTATCAGACCTGTGCTGCAGTAAGTTTGGCTGACCACAGGCTGGTCAGAGGAGCTGGAGCAGGTGCAACAAGATGCTGCAGGGTTTTTGGAATCCCACCCTTGTCCCACAGGCTATGGTCCCTGCCCACCCTGAGTGAGAGGCGCATTATGCAGCCATGAAGCGTGTTGGAGGACAGCGCCTCTCCAGTGCACGTCTTCAAAACACAGGCGCCATCTAGTGGACACAGTCTGTTACCGTTTTTGATCAAGTAAAAGCAAGATACGAACAAATGCTCTATCTTATGTATTCCTGATGTTCTTAAATTGTTTAATTCTCAGTATATTGGGATGATGTTTTATATTCTAATTTCTGGAACATATACATTTCAGGAATAGTATGCCATGTTCTTTCCAGTCAAGTCAATTATTAATAAAAACTGATGTAATATAAAAATAAATATTGATAGCAAACTATTTTGACCATCCAATACTGTGGCAATTTAATTTAGCACGATCTTGTCCCATCACTGTTAAACATTGATATTGTTTTGACTGACCAGAGAGGAGGGGTTCTGCAGATCTCTGATCCCGAGAACGGTGAGACTCCCAATCCGGTTTCTGATACGAGTGCCATTTGGCAATTGGTCCAAAGACACAACATTCCCCTCCAAAAGGTGAAATTCAATATCTTGTTGGGCAAGAGTCTGCATAAACATGCATATATTGAAGGTTGTAGAAACAGGTACAAAACTCTAAAACAGGACTTAGACGGACCTGGTTATCAGACAGTCCACTGTTGTCCGGTACAAAAAGAGTGGACTGAGTTGTTAAGTCATTAAGACGCCTTATAAACACTTTGCCTGAAGAAGAAACCTCTGAATAATTGAGGATTTGCTGAAAACATGAAATGACAGTAGTTATATTTAACTGAAAAGTGGATCAAATAGATGTGAAAATTGTAGCTGACTCACTGAAAGAAACTTTGAAAATTGTGGAGTGGATTGGAGAACCTGGAAAAGCGTTCCTGTGCAACTGAAGCCATCTCCAACAAAGCCCACTTCACACTCACATGTCACCTCTATAACACGCCATTCATGAATCAATAAGACAATAATTTCAGGCAACTAGACCAGACTTACCCTTGATTCTGTAACAGAAGGTGTCCCACGTTTCACCAAGATCTTTACGTACTCCATAGTCCACAATACCCACATGTCCAAAGCCGCAGTTTGGGTTCGAGTAAGTGGTGGGATAGGCCACTCGGGCCTGGTCCAGCCACCCAGCCGCACACATGTTCAATCCACCCTTATTACATAAACACACATTATGGATTTCAGGTTAATGCATTACAATGACTATAAACAAACCAATCAAGAGCCTAATTACTGTCAATGTATATTTTATCTTCCAAATGTATAAACGCTCACAACTGACTGATTACTCATGACCACACATAGGTTTTTCTCCTTTTTTATAGATCTCCAAAGGGGAAAAAAGGCTATAACTGTCGTCGCACCTGCTGAGCATATGACAGCTGGTTGTAGGTCGCCAGGCTCGCCGCTTCGTCACCACAGGCCCGTTGAGCTTCTGTGTAGTTCAGTTTGTACTGTCCTTTGGTTGAGCGGAGATGAAAGACACCAAGCATCGCATCTACAACATATTATGAAGAGTTTTAAAAATCCAGAAAATAAAGATTTACAGTGGACACACCTTCAAAATGAAGATCGGTGCACTTGGCGTTCTGGTGACACTGTCCATTGTTTTGCAAACATCGACTGATGGGAAGCTGTTTGACTTCACATATTGTTCCGTCACCAACATAGTTGTTTTTACAGGTGCATCTCCTCTTTCCCTGAGGTTGGTTGATACACAGTTATTAGTTCACTTGTATCAGAGGTAAACAGGTTTCTGGTGCATGTCTCACCGGTCCAATCATGGAGCATGTGGCGTGTTCGTGGCATTTCCCATTGTCCTCTGCGGCACAGGGGTCGACAGGCTGGCAGGAGTAACCGTCACCTAAATATCCCTTTGGACAAGTGCAACTCACCCCCTCTGCTATAGGAGAACACTTTGCCGTTCGAGCACAACCTCCATTCTGGATCTGACAGATTTCCACAACTAAAGGAGGCAACGCATTTAAAAAGACAGTTTCATACTTGAGTCCTAAATATGTATTGATTCTTTTTGCATTACTCACTTGTACAAGTGAACCCATCCCCTTCATGGAACGGCCGACAAACACATGAGTTGTTCTGCTGACAGACGGCTTTAGGGGAGCATGGTGGGGAACATTTATACACCTCCGCTGGAGAAACATTTTAAATAAATGTATATAAGACATAGATAACAACACTTTGACTTTTATTTTGTAATGGCAGAGGGCTAGTCCTACCCAGTTGTGTTTCACAGCGGTCTCCAGTCCAACCCTCCTCACAGAAACACAGGCCTGTTCCCTTCATACCATCGTCACACGTTCCATGTTCAGTGCAATTACACTCTAAAGATGTCAATGATAGTATTGTAAGAAACATTAGTGTTAGATCTTCAGAATCACTGATGACCAGTAAACGTCACCTTTGCAGGAGCGTCCATAGAAACCTTTGCTGCACAGCTCACATGCAACACCATAAAAACCTGGGTCACATGTGCAGGTGCCATTCCCCAGGTGTCCATCATCACATTTACCTCGATTATTGCAAGTGGCCCGTAAACCGCCAGGGCAAGCTGCACATACACACGCTTATAATGTACAGCTCACAGTAAAACGGTGAAGGGGTTACTGGTTTACCTAGACAATCTCGCCCAAAGTAACCATCGCAACACTTCGGCCTCCAATAAATAATTGTGCATAAACTGCGGCAGCCGGAATTCCTTGTGATATAATGTGTTGGAAAGTCACACTTCTGTGTCTCCTGAAAGAATATATGCCGTCATATAGATATATTATTCTAATTTAGATTTATGTTAGTGTGAAATCCATATGTTGTCACCAACCTTAAATTTTGAACCTTTTGGACAATGATTTGAAAATGAACACAGGCCACACTCAGTCTGCCCCAGAAACAAGAGAGATGATTGTGCTCATTTATTCACTTTATACAAATATCTATGAAAACTCACTGTGTGGTCAAATGTGTTCTGTGTGTCGCAGCGTCCCCCAAGGCTCGGTGGGCGGAGTAGACAGTCGATCCCATAAGCCACACCCACATCGAACACGAGATGTCTTTGAATAATACGACACTTTTGATTCACAAAAACATCTCCCTGGCAAAATACAGATCATTAAAGTATCCACAAGACATTTAGTCGAGCTGATACCAACAACTCTCCAGACTCTTACAACAGCCTCAGCGCCGCCGCAGCCGAAAGAGAGCGATGAACCCTGGACCGTTTGAGCATGATCCAGATGAACCAATCTTTCAGCATATAACTGTACAGAAAACAACACACATGTCATCGTTACAGTAACTTCTTACATGTTAACAAGACAAACCTTTTGGGTGTGCACAATGTGGTACATGAGATACTCCTGCAGCTGAGCGCGGCTCTGTGGGTGGTACAGGAAGTCCTTCTGCTCCTGGGGCAGAGCAGCCATCGCAGCATCAGACGGCATGAAGATGGTGAGAGGCTGGTTTATCTCTTCATGCAGAACTTTTGTCAGCCCAGTGTCCTGAAACAGACACACAAAATGTAACGTGTGCGTGAAACACAAACGTCAAACTGCTTTACCTCCAGTAGTTTCACAAAGGTTCTGTAGCCGTTCCGCTCAGCCACAGTGGTGAGATTAACCTGCAAAAAGGAAAATAATAACTATGTTTATAAGTGCAATAAATAACATTTTAATTCATTTAAGACTATGAAATATTACTTTCTCCTTCAGTTCTTTCAATTGGTCATCATTTGGGGAATATAAAATATTGTCAATTTCATGGAAGATACCATTCACACTGACGTCATCACTGTAGGTCACATTGGCCCCATTTATTACAATATTTCCCTGAAAAAGGTAAACACACTGTGATATAACACATGGAATGTGGACGTCTTCACATCACAATACTAGTGGTAATTATTGATGATTACTTCTGAAAACTGTGACTTAAGGACATAGCCGGACAATGTGGTAATGTTTCGTGGTTGGCTGAAGTATGAAGGCAAAAGTGTGTGGCACATGACGATGTGGCTGCGTAAAAAAGTCCCAAACAGCTCTTTATTATTGCTTGACATCAAAGTTTTAATCTGTAAAAGAAAGAATATCGTGATACGGCTTTATAATAATAATATAATAATATAATATAAATATATATTATACTATATATAATAATATAAGTATGTGTAGTGAGTGATCATTTCTTTACCTTCTGGTCCTGTTTAATTCTTGTAATAGCTTTTTCTGTCGGTGTAAAAACTGTGAAGGGTCCACGCCCTTTAAGAGAGATCTCCAGAATCTAAAACAAACTTGAATTCAGATTATTCAAGACAGAGTGAGACTTCTGTCCATTACTCACCATCAGGCTGAGGTAGAAGTCTCTATGCTTCCGAGTCAAGAGTTCCTGCAGGAAGAGAAGTGACATTAGAAATAAACCATAAAATACTGTACGTATAGTACTTTCTGGACTTTTAAGCGTATCTGTATAAAAGCAGCACCAGCTAAATTCCCATGAAAACGTTTTTTTCTCCACAGAAAGGCCACAACTGAATACAAGCCACGTTTTCCTGTTGTAATGAAACACTTAACCAACTCATAGAGCTCTTGTATTTCATGCATATCCACATGTTGGCTCACTCTGCCCTTCACATAAATATATATGACAGCTGATAGAGCTGTGTCCAAAGACTTTCTTGCGCCCAGGAGATACTTTACCAAAATACAAATACTCCACATTGCTCTGTACAACACAGAGTTTTAAGAATAAAAAAAAAGTCGCAGTTTATTGTCCGGCAAATACGGTAAGAAAGATAGATACTTAGAGATTAGATACTTACTTTGCCTACAGAACCGCGGCAGGTCAGACCATCTCCAACATAGTTACTACGACACGTGCACGTGCGGTTATTAGGTCCAGTCATATTACAAGTAGCGTACTTATGACAACCACCATTTGACTTTAAAAAACACAGAGACAGAAATGAGACATAACATATAAAATACTATTAACATATTGTGAATAACAACAACCCACCATGTCGCACAAGTTGGTCATCTTACAGTTTTGTCCATCTCCTTCATACCCCTCGTGACAGGCGCAGGACGTCTGTGAACAGCCACAATCACTAAACTGAATCAAACCAGTGTCCACTCTTGGAACGTGTGCTCACTTTGTTTGGTCCAACGTGAACACAGTCTGCGTTCACATGACAGCCTCCATTCCCTTCCAGACATGGATTTATCTCTGGGGTATAAACAAGATGTCAGATGTTTTGAAATCTAATATTTTAAACGACATTTAAAGTCCATACCAAGACACACAAGGCCATCTCCGGTGTAGCCCGTTTGACAGACACACTGCCTTTGTCCAGGGCGGGTCCTCTTGCAAACAGCATAAACACTGCAGCCTCCATTGTCAACAGAACAGGCGTCTTTAGCTGCACACAGGCATTATCAGAGATTAAAGAATAGACTTTAAAGTGTGTACAAGTCTCTCCTTGGCCTCGCACCAAAGTATACATCTGTGACATATGAAACCACTCTGAGGAGCACAGGGACTGGTCTCCTGCTGGTGCCTAGAGTCCGGACTAAACATGGGGCAAGGCAGCGTTTCAGATTTCATATTTCAGCGTAAATCTGGAACAGTCTGGAACAGTCTTCTTAAAAAAGTGAGGCAGCGTTCTACTCTGGCAATGTTGAAATCCAGGCTATGTGTTTATTTGTATCTGTGCACACTTTTTAATGTACTGTGATTATCTATGATTCTAATGCCTTGTGTGATTTTGATTGAATTTTTTTGTTCTGTTAAGCACTTTGAGTTGCCTTGTGTATGAACTGTACAATACAAATAACCTTGAATTGCCTTGTTAAAATACATTTATCAACACAAGATAAGATAAGGTAACATTTTATTGATCTCACAATGGAGAAATGTGGTGTTACCTTGACATGTAGTCCCATTTCCCTCAAACCCGGTGGCGCACTGACACCGAGGTCCAGATGAAGCGATCACACAACTGAATAATGAAGACAATTTACAGTTTACTTCCATTGAAATGATAACAATAACAAGATTTAGGGGCTGTAAAACTCATTTTGAAATTTGACTATCTTGGCTGAACTACTGTGATCAGGTAAAGAAGTATTGGAAAAGAGATTAAGATTATGATTAAGAGATTCTTTATCCACAGTGGGGAAATTTCAGTGCTGCATCACAAGTTATAGAACAGTAGGAATGAGTAGCACACAGCACAATATAAGTGAACAATAGCTGTACGAATCTCTAACTCGAGCATCAAAGAAACAAGTATAAAAATCTCTATCTTGAACACAATAATGATAAAAAAGAAGTATAAAAGTTTTAAAGACCATGGTTTTAATAATGCCTTTTGACAGATTAGGGCCATTTAAAGATAACTTGATATGAAAATCTTACATATTGCTGCTTTAAGTGACTTACTTTGCACTGCTGTGGCACTTGGCAGAGCCGCACAATTCCTCACTCTTGAATTCAATTTCTGCGAGGAACAAAAAGTAGGTGAGACGTTTGAGATAAATGTTCTTTCCCATGTTTTTGTTTGGTCATCAGCGTTCATACTTTCATCACAAAAGATCCCCCTCCAGCCGACGTCACACTCACAGGTGCCGTCTCCCTTTGGCCCCTCGTTACACTGGCCGTTTTTACACAGACACTCTGCAACAAATACAACATCAGTGCTGACCATGGAATAGAAAATGCATACAAAAACAAAGCAGCCGTACTCTGGTCACAGTGGATTCCGTATTTGCCGCTCTCGCAGGTTTCGCAGGCCGTGCCGTTGAACCCCTTCTCGCAGGCGCAGAGTCCGGTCCCGTTGGTCCCGTCAGAGCATCGGCCAAAACCAAAACAGGGCCGATCCTTGGGGCCAGGGCAGGGCTCGCAATTCTGCCCAAAGAACCCAGGGCAGCACTGCGGCACCTGAGACAAGAAAACATGTTTGCACCGCAACAATTGTAAACACCAAATTCTTACTTTTGCGTAAAAACGACTTATACCACTTGGGGCTTGAGGCATAGTACTTTGCAGCCCAGCTCTATCGTACGTTTACCGTCCAAGTACCGCGTAAACAAACACTTTTTCTTTATATTCTGAAATAAATGACAAAATAGATTAATTTGTTGAAAATAGATCCAAGCAAAAGATCAATGTTTGAGTAATTATTTATCATATAACTTACATCGGGAAAGGAGCCAAACGGACATTGATGGGGGATAAAAAAACAGTCTCCACAGCTACCCTAATTGAAAAAAAAAACATGCATTTTGTAACGAGAATTGATGATATTGAATAGGTCTTCATCGGCGTTACTCACAAAAAGTTGGTTATTCACGGTCTTGTCGCAACGATTTCTGTTTATTTGCAGGACAGATGACAATGTGTGGATTACGCCTTTTCCGCTTAAAATGTTTGAAGAATTGATTGGAGCGTCGTTAATAAACAGCTGAAAAGTAAAAAGTTAAATGAGGAGTGAATGCAACAGTTGAGAAGCGTTTGAGTTTGATCATCTCACCTTTCCGTCTCGTGGGAAAATGCCGATCTGGAAGGAGCGGCCCAGCATCGTTGCTTTGTAGCCTCCCATTTGTAGATCGGTTCTCAAAAGAGATTGAGTTGGCAACACGTGGTAGAGAGTTGTGTTTAAGTCCTGTCATTTTATTCCCACAAAAACACATGAACATTAAGATTAAGAGATCCTTTATGTGTGGGGAAATGTCAGTGTTGCATCACCAATTACACAACAGTAGGAATGGGGAGAGCACAACACAAGAGAAAGGAACAACTCTCTACTAAAAAAAAAAAAAAAAAAACAGAATAAAATAAAAGTATAAAATTGCTTCATCATAATAACGAAGCAAACAAAAAGCTACTTTGGTATGATGAAGAAGCAAGAATAAAGTATAAAGCATAAAAGAAGAAGTTAGCATAAAAAGAAGTAAGTAAAAAGTCTCTAACTTTTTAGCACAAAATACTGGAACATAAAGTTTCACTGGAAGAATGATCTGATGAATGTTTGATCTACCAGGGCAGTTGCAGAGATGCTTTTGAGATAGGCGTTGATAGCGCCATCTGTTGGAGCAAATATTGTGAACTTTTCTCGTTCAATCAGTTGTGTGAGGTTATACGCCTGTGAAAGAGGCATGGCATGTTTATTGAATTCAAATTAACATCTCTAAGATCAATGAAAACAATAAAATCTTCTGTGGGACATACCATGAGATATGATCTGAACAATGACACATCTGGGGTGAGAGCCAGAGTTGCCAACAGACCTGTGCTCGCCTTTCTGTCCGGAAGCAAAACCTGCAAAAGGAAACATTGATTATAAACATGTACAATAAAAACACAATGTGGCTCTCTTCTAGTATTTACCTTATCAATTACATGAATCAAACCATTGGTGGCAGCGATGTTAGAGATGGTTATTTTGGCTTCACCGACAGTTGTCACCTAAAAATAAAGTGAGTATAGCACAATTCATACAAAATGCAGTTTGCGATTCAAATGCTTTAAGAAACAGTTCATAACACGGTAAGAAAAGAAGAAGACCATAGATCAGTCATGAACACAGCTGAACAAAACTGTATGAACCTGGTCCTGGTAATGTGAAGCTTGTCTAACATTATCAGAAAGTGTTTATATTATGTATAAAGTGTGATGTGTAGTTAGAGCTATCTCACTTTTTGTTTTTATTGATTTGTGACACTCTAAAATAGTTTGATATTTTAATTGGTTTGAACTGCTGTGTCCAAGTATTTTCCAATGTGATTCAATGAAGTTTGCACCAGGAGACCAGTCCCTATGCTCCTCAGAGTCCCAACAAGAGACCAGTCCCTATGCTCCTCAGAGTCCCAACAAGAGACCAGTCCCTATGCTCCTCAGAGTCCCAACAAGAGACCAGTCCCAGTGCTCCTCAGAGTCCCAACAAGAGACCAGTCCCTATGCTCCTCAGAGTCCCAACAAGAAGCCAGTCCCTATGGCTCGGACTCTGAGGAGCACAAGGACTGGCCTCTTGCTGGTGCCCAGAGTGAGAACTAAACGTGGCTGCAATTTCAGATTCATGCAGCAAAAATCTGGAACAGTCTCCCTGAAAATGTGAGAGGCGTCTACTCTGACAATGTTCAAATCCAGGTTAAAGACTGTTCTGTTTGCCTGTGCATACAACTGAAGGATTTCATCTACATTTTTAATGCACCGTGGTTATTTATTTATTTCTACTACAATTCCTTGTGTAATTTAAAAGTTTTGATGCTTTTAATTTCTTGTGTGAATTTAATGTTTTAATTGTGATGATTTGTGCCTTGTGTGATGTGGACTGTGAAGCGCTTTGTGTTGCCCTGTGAATGAAAGGCACTCTACAAATAAACTTTGATTGATTGATCCACTTACCTCATTGGATGCGGAGACACTCAGTGAAGTATTCAGTTGAGTTGTGAGAGAGGAAATATTGTTGAGGACATACAATGGAAAGTTCCCTGCGATCATGTGATTTCTATTGAATTAAGCACAACACAACAGATCAGCCTCGGACAAAACACAATGTGAGTATTGTCAAAAAACACATGCACCAATTATAAACTGGATGACCTGATAAGACTTGGCAGATTTCCCTTTAAGGTCCAAAAGTTTTTATCCTCTAAAGATAAACTCTGAACAGCGCTTGAAGATGGGATGAGGAGTGTGATGTTCCCAGGCTCAGACAGAGACACTCCAGAGTCCTGAACAACAAAGAAGGGAATTCAATAAGCAGTATCTTATATTCAGTATTGAAAACTACCCACAACTTACAGCACTCCATGTGTAGAACTCAGGCGTCACTGGGAGGATGGAAAGTTCCTAAAACAGACAAAAAAAGATCAGTCAATCAGGTAAAAATCTATTTGTCTATAACTATTTCTCTGCTAAATGGACGTACGTGCTCCAGCGACCCGTAACAAATGCGTCCATCTCCAGCGAAAAGTTCATCACACACACACTTCCACTCAGAGGCCTCAAAGCGACAGCTCGCCTAAGAACAGAAGGAATACATGACATTTTCTATATATTCTGTACTATTTTCTATACTATTCTGTTCTATACTGTCTTCATTTGCTTTATTTTAAGGAATGACAACTCTCGACAGATGGTAATGACAATTCAAAACAGAAAAAGATGTTCCAACTACGACCAAAATAGTGTCCTCTGCAACCAACAAAAATCCTACAGGCAGCAATCAATAAAAAGGCAAACAAAAGTGGATGAACAAACAAGAATATCCGACAGATCAGACATAGACATACTGTAGATATAGACACACACAGACAAACAGACATTTTTATTCATGGCAAATGTCCTTGTACCCAGCAAAACTATAGGGATGAGACACATTATGATTTCTTTCTTTCTTCCTTCTGTTCCTGCTCATGCTGCACGAATTTATGGATCAGTGAGGGGCAATTATTTGGGATATTGGTGTATTGTGGAGGGCCAGACTCGTCTTCATGTGGTTAGCGTTCTGTATACTTTGGAACAACATATTTCACTTAAATTCAGATAAACAAAAACATTTACAGAAGAGAATGAGAGGGCAACCTGAACATAACCAATTAAATCTTTGTGTTTTTTCTTCTTCCGGGTGCATCCTCTAAACTATTGGTCCTCCTAATTGTCAATCATTCTGGTGATATGTGAGACACGTTTTATTAGGCGTTACATCTGAGGAGGGCGGTTCTTTCCTAATTTCGGGAAGCTCATATTTTGTCTTTAAACCTGGACTAAAGCTGAATGTTGGAGCTATTTGTCCATTTTTGGATTTTAGTTATGAGAATCTAATTTAGTTCATACATTTTGCTGAGGGTAGATAGAAGATAATTTTGTGTAAATTATTGCTTATTTGAATTTTATTTAGGTCACAGGGTTAAACAGGGCTATGATGAAGGCGTTTTGGACACATGTTGTACCAGCATGTGGAGAGGCTGCAGTCTGCATGTTTGCCATTTGTGCAAAAAACACACCTAAAAAGCATTTTTGCATAAAGCCAGCCTGAAAACGCTTAAAGTGGCCTTTTCATTAAAAAACCTTTACTTGGTTTGATTCCCATTCATTTTAAAAAGGGGTGTCAGTATAGCGTTTGAGGATGGGAAAAGGTCAAAGGGCCACACAGACACGTGAATCTACAGTACTCGTGTGTGTGGTCCCCAGGAAACACTTTACCAGGTCGGTTATAGATAGTATATATAACGTACTATGATCACATGGGCAAATAAATGAATACTAAAAACTTTTGGACCTCACCTGGTAGTGGCAGCCCCCATCAGACGTCACACAGGGGTTCACAGCCTCACAGTCCAGACCGTTTCCTTTGTATCCGGATTTACAGGTACAATCACTCTGTGGAGAAAATTGAAACCTTAAATTGGTAATTTATTCAATCGGAGAAGAGGACAGACATTAAAGCCCAGATACTGCTGTGGAATGAACTTATTGTAGGAGCATTTTTCTCATCAAAGACTACTCCATATCAACATAATGAACAGGACTTATTTTACTTCACTCAATGGAATAAAAAGTATTTTTTATATTTAAAGTCTCTTTGAGATTTAACCGAACACTAATTGAGTAGACCCAATAATATTTGTATAATGCAATTAATATTCAAAGAAACTGGAGATTCGGAAACATTACTTTTTATTCAATTCAATTCATTTTTGTATAACCCTAAAGCACAACAGCAGTCATCTCGGACGACCAAATTGTTGATCCAAAAACAACACATCCGAGAATCAAACTGTTTGAATGCAGGAAATGCAACAATAACAATCACATGAGAGCCATTGGTCCATAGGGGGCAGGGTGACCTCCTGCATCAGCAAAGAATGACTCAAAATCCCAGTGGGAAACTTTGGGGAGGCCCACATTGAGAGAGGGATCTGCTCCTACGGACAGACAGGCTGAAGATCCAGGAAGCAGCAGCAGAAGTGTTTATGTTCTGACCAGGTTAAAAGCTCAAAAAAATCTTCAAGGCATAATCAAACTAACTTCCATCAAAAATTGTAATTCAAAAAAATAACTTTTTATGGATACTTTCTAAGTGTAATTCTGGTATCATCCTGAATTGATGAAACTATCTGCCAAACCAGGATTTCTTGACTATTACAATTTGTTTGGGCCCAAAACCAGGTTTTTTCCTGGACTAGAAGGAATCATGTGTTTTGGGAGTTGTACCTGTCCTGGGCCGACATAGATGCATGAGGCGTTGCTATGGCAGCCTCCTCGCTCAGGAGCATTACAGTTGTTGATTGGCTGACAGCCGTCTCCTCCATCGTCCCTCCACCCACTGAGACACTGGCAGATGTGAGTCCCTACACCTGTCTTGATGCATTTAGCCTGCAAAGGACAAGTACAGCAATTACTCCTCATGAACTATTTCAAACCAATCAGGCAGTTTGTGTTCTTTATGGATGTATACGTTCACACTGCAGCCTCCTCGCAGAGGTAGGGCACACGGGTCTGATTCCACACATGTGATGCCGTCACCGTCATAACCAGGTTTACACAAGCATCTGGAGAACAAATGCAACAAATGCAACAAACATAGGAAATACTGCTTCTGTCGCAGGCTCAGCAGATAGAAAACCACTCACTGGAGCTTTCCCTTATTAAAGTCACACTCAGCATGGGCATGGCAGAACTGGGCATTAACCCCACAGGGAGAGGTCTTCCTGTCACAGAACTGCCCTGTGTAGCCCTCTGCACAAGAATTCGGCTTACAGCGGCCATCAGACTCTGGCCGGTTGTCACACTGTCCATGAACACAAGGACATTCTAAACACAGACAAAAAAGTCAAAAGAAATTCCCTCCACAAAATTGTTGTTCTTGGTTTGATTTTTCTTACTCTTATCACAATTTGGGCCATATTTATCAGAGAAGCAGTAATGACAACGAGAACCTCCAAAGTTTTTTTCACATATGCATGTTCCATTTCCAGATAGACCATCCAAACACTAAACAAAAACCATAAAACACTTACAATCAACCTTGTTTCACAAAGTTCACAATAGTTTCAGTGTGTAACTGTGAGAGACCTGTCCATGTCCAGAGCATGGTGTGGCGTGTCCTCCAGGACAAGGGCCGCACTCACGGCCATAGAAGCCAGAGCAGCAGGCTGCAGTCTGTAGATTACAGAACAGAGGAACTGTGGCAATAAGAACAATATGACTGCTATTAGAAAATATCATTTACCGTAACATTGAGGTTGCATATAGGCGTGCAACCAGTAGCACTAAAAGTCTGTCGTTGCTGGCCTATATTAAACTTGTAAACACATCCTTGTGTGAATCCCTTTGGAACAAAACAAACATGATCAAAATAACATCTCCATGTTTGAGATGGAGGAGTAGAAGTGCATCTTACAGATAGTACGTGTCCAGATGGACATCGGGTCTGCTCCACTTTTGCGCAGCTGGTGCAGTTCATCTGATAAAACAGAACATGAACATGAATATATTTCAAAAAAAAGAATACAACCAAGAGATTTAGCCTCAAACCTTAACAGCTTTGGTCTCTGTCACGTCACACCTGTGAGGAAGGATGGGTTGAATGGAGGCAGGAGTTAGGACCTCATCTACAACATATAATTTTCCGTTCTTCGCTTCTACTGCTGCCTCCAAAACCTCTGCTCCGTTTATCAAAATCTGACCCTGGGGGAAAAAGAGATTTAAGAATAAATCATCATAAAATAAATGATAAAATCAAACAATACTAACCATTTCAGTGATATTAATGGTCAGTTGTTGATTGGCCATCGTAGTGAGCCAGGGGCTCGCCACAGCATTGTAAACGTCCAGCTTAAAACAAATTGTAACTGTCAAGTCAAAGTGGCCTCAAAACACAAGAGGAGATAAACTGTTTGTACTTACAGAGGTAGACGGAACAATGTGGTTTCGAAGAAATTCTATTAATTTTGTGCGACCCTGAAATAGAGAGAAATGTAATATAAAATATAATTTTATATTACATTTCTCTTAAAGAGGATGGATCATACTTTGGTGCACAGGACTTACCTCTGCTCCAGTCAAGTACTCAAGCTGACCATTCCCCATGTTTTCAAATGCAGCAGAAACAGGAGCAAAGACAGTGAGGGGACCAGACGTGTCCATCAGAGACCACAGGTCAACACTCTATGAAAAGTAGAATATTATTATAGTATTAATAATATTGTTTAACAGCATTTAGAGTTAGAATTATGGTTGAAATAAAATGTATATGTTGTTAATTACCACTTATATAGGAAATTAAATCATCCTACATACTTGTAACAAGGCTTCGAATTTGGAAAATTTGGTGTAGTCTGCAATAATCTTCATCAGATTTTCCTACAAAAGTGGAACATTAGATTAAATACATAACACACAGTATTCATGATGGTTACTTTACTTGTGGCTGGCTGTCAACAGTCGGAGAAACACTGTCCATGGCTTTACTGATGATATGAATCATGCCGTTGGATGCTACGATATCTGACTGCAGAATGGATGCTTTCCTTCTGCTGCCATGGATACGGATCTTGGTCTGAGAAACCAAACAATAGTTAGTATTGTACCAGTTGGGCACATGTGTCTGGATGTGACTTACCCCATCAGAGGAGTCAGTCTCAGCAGATTTCCCTGTCAAGGTGTAGAAGACGTCATGTCTTTTCAAAACGTCCAATGACATCATACCCGCGACCATGTGCATCTTGCATAAGTATTTAGCTTTACTATTATCTGCTGTGAGAGACTTTACCTGCAGGAATAAATCCCAGAACAAGTTAGAGACATCAAAATGTGTAAGAATGATAGAATTCTCGAGGTAAAACCCTCACCAAGCCTGGTTTGAAACCTTTATTGACTGGCACAAAGACAGTGAAAGGACCCAGATTCTCCAAAGGCCATATTAGGGAGTCTATAGAGGTTAACGTCATTAATATATATTATTTTAAAAACATTGAAATGTTACAGTTCTACCAAAAAGAGAGAGGCTGTTGCTCAGCTGGTTCAGCCACTTCCCACCAGGTTCAGTGTTTAACTCTTTCAGGCGTTGAACAATATTTCCAAAACACACTTTTCCAGTCCCAGTGTACCCAGGGAGGCAGGTGCATCTGTGAGAACCAGAGAAGATGTACAATATTCAAACCTGCAGTCAACAACTATGAGAGGAACATGGCGACATACTCAATCCTTCCTGGTCCTGCAGTGGAGCACAAGGCATTTTTATCACAGGAATCTGGTTGGCAGGCACTTTTGAGGCTGCAGTGGCCGTCTACCAGATTTTCGAAGCCCAACTGACACTCGCAGTGAGACTAGAGCAAAAAGTGTTTAGTCTCAATGTAAAGGAAACGTCTTCAATTATTATGTTTTTAATGTATTGTTACCTTTCCAGGTCCATCATAAACACAGTGTGTGGTGTTGGAGACGCAGCCTCCCCGATCGCTCTGACAGGGGTTGTACGGCATGCAGACACGGCCGTCTCCAGTGTAGCCCTTCACACATGAGCAGAGGTGCATGTTTGGGCCGGTGTTGAGGCAGGTGGCCTGGGCATGACAGGGCTTCAGGGCACAAGGGTCGATGGCTGAGGAGAGAGGCCGCTAGTGATGAGTGGGTACAATATTCAGAGCAGAGATGAGCAGGTTGCAGTTATAGATACTGTTGGTACCACTTTTACTTGATTTTTTTTCTGTATTTCATTGGGACAGTGATGCTAATGATAAGACTGGGCTCACAAAAAGGCTAAGTTGCAATAATACCTGAGTGTGGCCATAGCTGCTTGTCAAAGGCTGACAACCGTGCAAGGCCTGGTCACAACCTAAACCAAAGCTGCTGGAAATAGCACGCGCCACAGTGGACTGTCCGCGGCTTTTGCCAATGTTGCCAGTTTCCCAGGGTAGAGCAGAAGTGTGAGTAAGATGGGGTGCGAGGGGCACATGGCTTTGTGGACGGCCTTGCTTATGTCAGTTTACCCAAGGGCAGCTGTGGCTACGACAGTAGCCAACCACCACCATGTGTGCAGTAAATGAACAGAGCTATGTCAACTGTGGCTGTTTATTTTTTAGTTTGATTCTTTTTTTCTCATTAGATTTTTTTTTTTAATCTGTTCCCCTGTTCATTACTTGAATCTGCTTTTTCTGGTATTTTGTAAGAACAACCTGGCACATACTCAATCACATCTAGTGGTTCTATGGGATAAAGACTTTTCCCATTGATGTTTGGAAACTTATATCCAACATTCATTATTTTTATGTAAAGGGACGTCTTAAGAAAGAACCTCCACAAATCGACTGAGAACAAGAGTGTTCAAGGCAAACTCACAAACACAGTTGGAGTTAGTGGAGTCTCGTCGGTATCCAGGCAGACACTGGCACACCAGCTGCCCCGTGCCGGCCTCCTCCATGCAGCGAGCGCCTGCTCCACAGTTCAGCGCCGAACACTCGGGTAACTCTGAAAACAAACATAAAAATGTACCTACATTTGACCACTTTCCCATTACCAAATACATCCTGAAAATACCTTTGTCACAATTTGGTTGTGTGTATCCAGAGAAACACAGACACTGTCCAGTTCCTTTCAAACCAGAGTCGCACAAACCATGGACACAAGAACACACTGGGAAAATAAATCAATTTGAGTCTATAAAATATCGTACCGCTGCTATTTTGCAATAATAAGACGTTAGTGAGAAATAGTAGATTGTTTTCAATCTAAGCTTTAAATAGTGAACTATAGCAGTGTGTCAATGTGAATATTATGTAAGATTCTATTCTATTTTATTAAGATTCAGAAAGTGTGATGTCTAAAAGCCACAAGATAATTATTGATCGTCTCATTACTTTGAAGAGAGGAATAATTATACTAATACCTGAACTGCAAGTCGGGTCGTATCGCCCCGGGGCGCACTCTTCACACGCCGTACCCGCGAAGCCGTCCTGAAAACAGCGTTCACTGTGTCATGTGTGTCATGTGTGTCATGTGTGTCATGTTGTGGAAGTGTGTTTAGACCTGGCAGAGACAGGTGCCATTTCCTCCAAGTCCATCAGAGCAGACGCCTCGGCCACTGCAGGGTCGACTGGCCTCTTCTGGACACTCTGAACACACACAGGTCACTGCTCAGTTTGTAAGCTCTCAGTCGTACAGGGATTAGTCAAAGCAAAGGAAGGTTTTTCACCCATCATCTGTACTTAATTAAATCTCAGACCGCGCGTTGGAGATTTATCATATCATACAGGTTTGCTATGTTTTGTATAAAGGCTGGGATTCACTTTTTTGTTTCATAAATAATGCATGTTGTTTGTCCAAATAAAAAGTAAAGTAAAGTAAATTATTGTGAATAAATCAGAACACAACATCCTATCTTCATCTGATAACAAAACACTATCTTTTGCACACATAGAAGAAAGAGCCCTGTCAGTCACTATTTGACAATTTGGGTTGAGAGCTGGTTCACTTTTCTGCCTGAAAAATCTGATGTAAAGCTGTGACAGATGCCAGATAATACATGCACACGTGAAAGGAGGTGATAGAAACAAACTGTTTTAAAGCCAGGAACTAGTTAATTCAATTTGATTGCAACAGAGACCATCATTTATGGACATTTATAAAAACAAATGCATGAACCAATACCAATGTGTTTCCTGTTTTATTTCTTGTGTTTGAACTGTTTGATTCTCTGATCTGTGTTAGTGAATTGAACAGTTGTGTAAAGCCCACCGCTATAATTCCTGTTGTGATCTAGGGCTATACAATAATACATTTTATTGAATTAAATTGAAACACTAATTGTGTAGATGGGCAGGGAAGTTTATTTACAAATGTGTAAAGGCACTTTCTCGTTATCACCTGCAGGAACCATGTGTGACACAAAGGGCCCTGTACCTTTGTCACAATCAGACACCTCAGCACTTTTTGTTCTGCTGAGTGAGGGGTCTGCTGCCAGGAAGGAAGGCATGCTTCCTGTAGGACATTGGGTCAACTCACCCCCTAAAGAGGGTCTAACCAGGCTCAAAGATGTCATCAAGTGTCAAACTGTTTCTATGCTTAAGAACTCAAATGTAAGAAGGTGACTCTCACCCATGCAGTCCGGACCCCAGAAGCCGGGACAGCAGGTCTTGGTCTCCACCTCTCGGTAACACTCAAAAGAGCAGCCAGGGAGGGACAGTTTCAGGGTGACGGTTGCGATGTTATATCTGCACACAGGTCCAGAGTTAGGAGCTTGTTCAACGTTCTGTTCAGTGAAATATCAACGTTTCCTACTTGCAGTCTTTGAGGATGGTTCCAGGAGTTTGTTTGAATCCCGGTGGACATCGAACATATGTGCTGATGCTGCAGGAGTGACAGGCCGTGCGAGTGCGGAGGACCGTTGAGTTAGTGCAGAAGTTCTGCAACAAGAAATTTCACACATGTCACATAAGGATATTCAATTCAATTCAATTCAATTCAATTCTAGTAAAGCCCTAAATCAAAACAGCGGGTGTCTCAAATGACTGTCGATTCCTCAACAACATATCAGAGGTGTAATAAAAAGCAGAAGCAGAATCACATCTCCAGTCTTTCCAGAGGCAACATTGGTGACAACATAAACAGGAAATGCATAACAGTTTCATCAGATCCACCCCGGAACCACAGACATTTAGGTTTCTCTTGGAGGAAGAATGTAAATGAAAAAGATTTTTGTTAAAAAACATAATAGTGTTTTAACCAAAATCTGTAATAGTAAAAAAGTATATTTTGTTTCTATTGCATAAGAATACATAGTAAGTAGGTAATCTTTAATTATATAGCACATTTTACAGACCATGGTCACACAAAGCGCTTTACAATTGTTGAGAGTTCCGCTATTATTCCATTCTCTCCACACGGGGATGACAGAAGCGAGACGCAGAACACCCTGGGATCAAAGCCCCAGACCCACACCATCCATTCACTCACTCTTTACATTCAGACCTGTTTACACACTTTGCACTTGAGCATTGTATGCACGTAGACATAAACCATTTTAAGAAATAATAAACAAAAGATGTATTGAAGAAATAGATGTGGTACCTGTATATCTGCATTTGCCCCATGGTGCAGGAAGAGCAGGAAGAGCAGAGCCTTCAGAGCAGTCTCCATTCTCAAGCCTCACTCTGAGCTCAATGACGGCTCTCTTTTATCAGCCTCCCCTCCTTCTACTCTTCCTCCTGTTTCCTGAAAAATTCCAAACTCTAAGAAACGTGATGAATCAGGTGCTTTTGAACCAACTCAAAAAGGACATTTGACATTTTTAGTTTATTACTGCACAAAAAGCTTAATTTTCTTCAATCGACAAAACATACTCATTACAGAAATATCTCTTTGTGGGGGATACATTTTATTTGGACAAACGGCATCTATTAAAGTCAAAATGACTGGATTAGAAAAGGTAAATATGAGGTCATGTAATTTAGGAACATGAATAATCAACACATAATGTTCTTATAAAAATGACAATGAGGCAATAAGTGGCATTTCATAAAACAAAGATTTGTGCCAAACGGTGCCAAGATAAAAGCAGGAAATCCTGGACTGTAATTTCAATTCTGCAGTCCTTTTCACTTCCTACTCTCTGCCTTGTTATCAGTCCCGGCTCATGTGCCCTAATGAGACAGAGGTCGTTTTGCTTCTCTGGGGAAAAGATTGAATAACGCATTTTTTGTCACTTGCATAAATAAATATATAATAGACCAAAAGTTTACTCTGTAAGAGACAGGATCATTGTTTCAGTGAGTTCTTCATTATTTACTTCTATTGGACCAATGTCACACTATCGAGAGATTCTTCTGAAGTTTTTTATTTCTACAAAGTCAGAGGTTTCATTTGATGCATGTCTTTTTACAGTGTTGCTGTGCATGTGCAAATGTAACACCGTCACACTGAATGATGTCGGAGTGTCAAAAGATAAATTATATTTTCAAAAAGCATTACTTTAATTAATGTACTCTTTGTACCTGAATGCACAGAAACTTCCTTCAGGATGAATAAAGTACATCTGTCTATGTATACTGTGTATATGCTGCTGGGGCCAAGAACTCAAAATCACACACACACAAAAACTGTTAAAGTCACACTTGATACAATGTTACGTTTTTTTAAAATATGGACCAATTGAATAAGTCTGAAATAAATATGAATAATAACAATAATAATAGTAAAGTTGTAACTTTTGTTCATTAAGAGCATGTCCTTTGGGAACTTGGGCTTCATAACTTCAACTTCCTGTTTGTTCAACATCTTAAGGACCATATTCTCAATATTTGTTATTAAAATCATATTATCATGTTAATTATTTTTTTTACTTTGGTCCTCATTATTGATTATTGCCTGACAGCAATGGGCCAAGAATGGGAGGTACATCACAGAGAACAGAAAGCACATAACGTGTATTTTAATTTACATTTGATAGTAATTCCTGGGAAAAGACAGATCTAAATAATTTAATCAAACATTTACATTTATTGGGGCAACATATCAATGGTTTATCTTTAAACTCGTAAAGGCAGTATTTTAATAGTAGAACAGCAAACATAAAACAGTTGAAGATAAATACGTATCCTGCTGTGATGCCCTGTTATGTGTCCAGGACATCTGCGTAAAGGTCAGAAGCGGAGTGCTGTGCTCAGGTAAAGTACGTTTGGAGGGAGTCTGCTTGAATAACGTCATAGTTTGTTCTTTCTACAGTCTGACTCACTCATTTACAGATGTGCATGTCGTTCATGCTCTCACAGCGCCTGCAGCGGACGTAGCAGCACCACACAAACTTGCACTCGCAGCGCTCCACGTTACGCACTACGTGAGTGTTGTATCCTCTGCCGCAGCACAACAGGTTACATCCATCAGGCCCGTGGGAGCTGCGGTTGCAACGGCGCCCCCTAGTGCCCGCCACGCCCAAGTGCTGGTCCTCCAGGCAGTAATTAGGAGACTTGTTCATGTAAATGAGTTTGTGTTTGTCCACGGTCACATCCCGCTCCTTCCTCTTCCACTTTTTCTTAAATCGATCCAAAACGTGGACACTGCGTTCATAGCGTTCTTTCAAGTACATCCCCACACGGCTGAAAGGGGCCATAGTTCTCCAGCAGGTTTTCACAGCACAGGATCCAGACACTCCATGACAGCGGCAGTCCGTGGACATCGTTCTTTCAATGGCCTGCCGCAGAAAACACACATTCATGTCTTTTCGTTGTACAATGTAAAATCAAAATAAACTTTTATTCGTCTCTGAGTGGGGACCTTTCAACGTCATCTTTGTGCACATTACAGCAGAAAATCGGAAGCCTTAAAAACCTTTTCCTATATCACTAGTAGTTCTGTGAAGCCCTAAAATGTCAAATAACAGTGTTTTCTATTTTCACATCACACCATCATTGAGCCGCTTTGGGGAACCTCATCTACAACTACCACAACATTCTATGCTGTCGTGCAAGTTAAAAAGGCCGGTACACACTATTGAAACCAGGGAGATGGAAACTTCTGATCAGGGTCATAGTCTCTGTTATTATCATTTTAAAATAGAAACATATATGTTTGACCATAAATGGCACACAACCGCTAACAATGAATGACAAGAAACTGTTTCTGCCTGGACATGTAAACTTTAAAGCACAACTGTAAATACTGAACAATAATTACAGTTATAAAGGCCATAGTCCCAAAGCAGTCAATTTGATGGCTTTTAGTTTGGGAAGTGTAAGGACTTTTTCTATATCTATATGTAGTTTATTTTTAAACAGTAATTTTCCACCAGAAAAGCTACCATAGCAACGCACTGTTTACTTGAGTTAGCATCAGCTTATTTATTTATTTTTAGTTTTTTATTCAACAGTAATATTGACCAGTTTTAGCACTTTCAAAAATTTAGTAAAGTTAAAATGTTGATAAATCTGGTGAAAAACTAAAATGATTCCTTTGGTTTGAATTGGAGCCGTGAAAATGACGGCTTTGGGAGTTCTAGAAGTTTCTGAATTCTGGGAGGCTTGGAGTTAAGAGATGTTTTATTTGTCCTACTGTGGAGAAATGTCAGTGTTGCATCACAAGTTACAGAACAGCAGGAGAAGCACACAAAACTCTGCAAAAAATGATAAAATATGAAGTAATAATTGCTTGAATTGAATGGTTTTTATCTTAATTTGAGTACATGTTGAGTACATGGGCGGCACGGTGGCTGAGTGGATAGCACTCTCGCCTCTCAGCAAGAAGGTCCTGGGTTCGAATCCCGGTCGGACCAGGGCCTTTCTGAGTGGAGTTTGCATGTTCTCCCCGTGTCTGCGTAGGTTTCCTCCGGGTACTCCGGTTTCCCCTACCACTAAAAATATGTCCAATAGTTCTGGCATGCGCCTCCTGTACTGGCGACCCCGCTCCCATCTCTGTGTGGAGTGAGAGACAAATGCCCAAAAAAATTAACAATTGTAAACCGCTTTGAGACTCAGATCTGCAGTGAAAAGGCGGTATATAAATAAAAACTTACTAACTTACTTACTTACTATTACATTCTGACTGAAGATTTGCCAATGGAAAAAGGCATTTAGTCTTATTTTAAGATATGGTGGTGCTTTTTTTCTTTATGTTTTTTTTGTCTGTTATGTGCGTATTTATGTTCACTGTTTGATTAAAACTGTAAATAAAATAATATACATTTTATTTAAAAAAAATGGCAAAATAATGTTTTAAAAGAGTCGGAATTTTGCAATGTGAATATCAAATTTAGCACAACTGAATCCAGAAACAAAGAACAAACACACTGTATACTCCAGTGTGAGAAGGTGGTGCCCCTGACCTGCCGTCCCGCCTCGCTGTTGTGTTGGTTCATGGTCAGCAGTGTGTATCCTTTGGGCAGCAGCGACATGTTCTTGGAAGAGGTGTCCATGAACTTGCGGCTGAACCAGGTGCCGTACTGGATGTGGTCCGAGCAGCCCCCCCAGTGCCACCCCTGCGCCGCTGAAGAGGTGCCTTTGAGTCGGGAGTCGCAGCCGCACTCGGTCATGTTGCCCTGACTGCAGGAGCGCGTCACGGCGTGCACCAGGCCGGCCGCCATCACCGCATAGATGAACGCGGTCTCTTTGGTTCCTTTGGATTAGAGTAGAATAGATTAGATTAGATTAAATTCAACTTTAATGTCATTACTAACATCTATGCTGGATCATGACAGTCGCCCCCTGCAGGACACTCTGGCTGTCCTAGAGAGTAGCTTCAGTGACAGACGTATTTACCCTCGCTGTGTGAAGGACCCTCTGCTGCTGTCAGACTGTACAATGAGAACTGCTCTAACTGTCCTGCATGTGCACTGCAAAGTTCTATCCTATTACATCTAACCAGTCGTGCAATAGCGCAAGTATAGGAGAATATTTAAACACATTTACAACACAGATACTAAATATGTGAGACTGTAGAAAGCTGATATTGCTAGTTCATATTCATTCATAACATTATATGAACTTCTTTCCCACTCCATTTCTAGCTGAAAAATTGTAAATAGAAATACAATTGTAAATACATATTGAAATTTTAAATATACCTACACATGTTAAAACCATGGCAACTGTATATGTACTGTATGTATATATACTGTATTTGCATGTGTAAGTATACTGTAAGTGCATTAGGAAACAAAACAATGCATAAAAGTATCTCGATAAACTAAAGAATGTATAGTTTCTGCTCGAATTAATAAAATAAGATCACATCAATTTTACATTAAAATGGAACTAACTCTCTAAAGAATATGACAAATCATTATTAAAGTTGTATTCATATCAAAAGTAGTGCACTCCTAAAATAATAAATAGAAGTGATACGGTTTTTCCCAGACTTTATAGTGTGTAACTAAGTAGAAAACGGCTTTACACACGCTTTAAACAACGACTGTCATGTCGTTGTGACAGTGGCTCAGTTGGTAGAGCATTGGCCTTCAGGCCTGAAGGTTGTGGGTTCAATTCCCACCTCCACACCTTCTCCACCGACTCCCACTGATGACTGCTGTCGTTGTGTCCTTGGGCAAGACACTTAACCCCACTTTGCCCAAAAAGCCCCCACTGAAAGATCAAGGCTATGCTCACACTCAGAGAGCAGCCGTCCTCCTGTGGACTCACCACCTGCAGAGGGTCAGTGAGGGGCTGGTGCTATGAGACTTGGGTGGCATCTCTGACTGCCACCCCCCTGTCCCAGAAATGGATTAAAGGGTAGAAAATGGATGGATGGATGGACTGTCATGTCTCGCTCTGACTTTGGAAATGTCACATCCACATGTATCTAATAGATTCAAATCATGTGATCAGGAAAAGAGATAAAATGCGGTTTGGTCCAAATATCAAAAGCCTATAATTGTCCAAATGGCTTCAAGTTGTTCTGCTAAATACTTCTCAATGTATACTTCATACTGAGATGAAACAATACTAGGCCAATATAGTGTTCTGTCACAGCCCTCACCGCTGGTTAACTCGTGCCCAAACAGAGACGGCTGGTCGTTAATGGAGCAGTTCCACCTCTCGTGCTTGAACTGGCTCTGGCACTCGGACAGGGCCAGGCGAGCCCCGTCCTGGATGCTCGGCAACAGGAACGACTTCCTGCGGCACAAGTCCTTCTGTTTGGGGCTGAACGTCAAGTTAGCACAGCCAGACTTCTCCAGGACTCCTGCTGAGCTCACGCCAAGCCACCTGAGGAACACACAGCACTCCATTAGCTTCATTACTCACCTAAGCAACAGTTGGATGAATAGAAATACACACACAAACATATATGAGCGCGCGCACACACACACACACACACACACACACAAACTCACATAGAGAATACATAAATCCATTATATTTCACGTTTACACAAAAAAAAAACACATAATCATAACCGGACCAGATGTAGACCAGAGAGAGATAGACTAGAGATAGACCAGAGAGAGACAAGAGATAGACCAGAGAGAGACCAGAGAGAGACCAGAGAGAGACCAGAGAGAGACCAGAGATAGACCAGCAAGAGAGACCAGAGAGATACCAGAGAGATACCAGAGAGAGACCAGAGAGAGACCAGAGAGAGACCAGAGAGAGACCAGAGAGATAGACCAGAGAAAGACTAGACAAGAGAGATAGACCAGAGAGAGACCAGAGAGATAGACAAGAGAGAGACTAGACAAGAGAGATAGACCAGAGAGAGAACAGAGAGATAGACCAGAAGATAGACCAGAGATAGACCAGAGATAGACCAGATAGAGACAAGGGAGATAGACCAGAGAGATAGAGATAGACCAGCGAGAGACCAGAGGGATATAAGAGAGATAGACCAGAGAAAGACTAGAGCGATAGACCAGATATAACCTATACAAGGGAGATAGACCATGCGAGATAGACCAGAGAGAGACCAGAGAGATAGACAAGAGAAAGACCAGAGAGATAGACCAGAGATAGACCAGAGATAGACCAGAGAGCGACCAGAAAGAGAAAACAGAGACTTCTATCTGACTTGAGTCTAATTCAAATGTGTAATTGCTGGTATCCTGCCTCTGTGTGAGACAACAAAGCCCCAGTGTCTCCACAAAGATCAATAACAGCCCGCGCTAAACTCCTCAGATGTGTCCCATTGACTGTGAACACTACAGTCCCAGCTTAGAGTGACTTACATCCAGTTGGCTCTGGAGCACAGCGGGCACAGAGACACCAGCAGCAGGGTGAAGGCGCACACACGGCTCCGTCTCTCCATGTCCGTCTCTCACGCACCTGTCCTGACGCACCTCACCGGCCCGGTGTCCACGACTTTCTGCGCTCTCTCCAGCCTCAGGTCACTGCTGCTTCTCCCACTGATGCGCCGGGGGACATCTGCGCCCATTGGTCACGGACATGGCTGACGTCACATGTGGGTGAAAGACTAAAACTAGAACTAAAAACTGAAAATAGCGCATATTGTGTTGTTTATCTGTTAATCGTTCTGGTGAAATCCCACACTTTCAAAAATATTTCTAAACGAATTTAAATCTATGTAAACAATTCACTCATATCTCACATCACGCAAAAGCACAATCCAACACGCTCTTTGAAACTTCCATTTGAAATCTTCTGCTATATATATTTCCTGAGTCTATGAAAAACAAGATCTGATTTTGTATTTTCCAGAAATAAACGTTTATTACAAGATACTTCAAAATACACTTAAAAAAATACTATATAATACTATCTGTTCAGCCTTAAAAGCAGAGCATATCTTGGCAGAAATTGTAAGCAATGAACAAAAGATAAAGAAAAACTAAAGCAGATAAAATAACTATGATAATAATGGTTATGAATAATAATAATAATACTGTATGTGGCACAGAAAAAGTACATTTGGTCCAGCACACGTCCAGTTGTGACAATATAAAAATTGGCAATATACATACAAAAATAATATTTGTTAGCAACATATTCTCATAATCTACAACCATTTTTGGCACTTTGATATTTGCAAGTAACACTGATACTTTATCTTAAGCAATGCAATTGTACATACACAACAACAGTACAAAGCTACAAATTACAATCTAAAACAGAGAAATACTGATGGACTAAAAGATATGAAGGAAAACCTACATTTCAGAGATGTGTGCAAAGTACAAAAACTTTTGTTCAAAAAGTGGTCCTTTCCTAAAATTTGGGAAACTCCTCCTACATACCTTTAATATAACAAACATACATATATAAGGTTATTAAAAGAAAACACAGTTATTGACGTATTTGGTCAAAAACTATAATATTGTATAAAAATGATGATGATGACTATAATGTTGGTTACATTTTTAGTATCTATGTTTCACAGTTGGAGCTCAGGATTAGGCTTATTTCCAATATGCTGCTTTTCTGCTCGGCTGGTCAGGTCTGTGCAGGGCAGAGTCGGGTCAGCAGGATCTCAGAGTACACCTGGTTCACGGCTCCTTTCACTTCGTAGGAACACGATCCAGTCCCATGGTCCCGGGTCACAGCTGTATTGTGGCTCGCTCTCGTCCCATTGACTTGTGTCGTTAAAACAAATGAGGTTTTGGAGGACACACGCTTCTTCACCTGGTCGAGAGCACAAGAAAAGTCATATTTGAAGCAAATTTACAGAGCTGCATTAATAAGAGCACCTGTATACAAACAGCACCAACAGCATTTAAAAAGGAAATGTGTTTTGCCCACATAAAGGCCGCACTTGGTTTGTGTTGCATTATTACATGAAAACAACAGCTAATGCAGCAAAACAATGCAGACAGACGACCGGACACAACCAAATTTAATAATGATAATTTTGACAACGGCAAATCCAACCTATTTTGACAAACGTGTGTCCTATAGCTACTTAAACTTGAAGTCAAAATAATGAGTCCATAAACTCTGCTCGGATAATAGCCCCTAATGACATATTCAACAAGGTCTCTCCTCTATTCACATAAACATATTGGGAAGCAAGAATGTGTGGAATGTTTTGGCCCAAGTCCTGGATCTACAGCCACTCCGTCCAAGGGAGCGGATTCCTCTCTTGATGTGGGCCTTCCCGGGGTTTCTTGCTTTTTATAACTGGGTTTTATAGACCTTGGCCCTCTGCTCTTCAAAGGCCAATGTCTCCTATGTGTTTGTCATTATTGTTTTATTATTATCTGTGTTGGTAAGTTGACAAATTTTTGAAGATGTGAAGGGACTGCTGTTGTGATTTAGGGCTGTCCAAAAGTCAAAATCAAATTGAACTCTGGAGATCAAGGGCAGATAGAGCCGTTTCTAAATCTCTAAAGCTCCAATGGACTTCTAACAAAATGAAAATACATGCGTTGGCCGCATCACTAATACATGGAAGTAGCAGCTTATAGTCCAGCACTGTTATTAAAATAATTACATCTTGAATCACCTCATGAAAATGGCAAGCGCATCTTCCCTGTAGAAACTCTTTATATCGCCCCATTGTGATGCTGAATGTATCAACGACTTCAAAACCATATTCCTTTGCGGTGCTGATGAGGTTCTGGTTTTCTCTGTAGAGGTCTTGTATCTCTCTCTACAAACAGAAACATCAGGTATACAGTATATGCGCAATGGATTTGTAAAACAACAACAAAAACAACAAACTTACGTACCAGTTTCAGGGATCTGACCCCATCAACAAGCAGGTGGAATCCCATCCCCAAAGTCTTGATCACCACCAGGATGTTGCTAAGGCCCTTTCTGTATAAAAAAACAAAATATCTATCTTTCTTCATCACTAACTTGGTCGTAAGGATACATTCCCACTCACCTCTTCAGAGATTCTTTAATTGCTTTCAGATGATTGATTTTCAGCCACTGGACTCCTCCCACAATCAGCACTGTACGTCTGGAGTCGGAAAGCGGCCTGGACCTTGAGGAATGTTCACAGCAGAACTAATAAATACATGGACATTTGTGTATAATGCTTCATGATCAACGCCAACACTGTTTTGCACCTTTCCAGGAGCTTATCCACAGACTCCGTGAAAGTGGGCCTTTGATTTGCCTCCAACCAGAACTGAGGATAATACGAGTAGCTGACGAGCGTCCGACCACCGTTTAAGTCTGTGTAGACCAAAGTATCGTGTGCTTTTTCCCAATCCTGCAAACTGGAGTTCACGCGCTCCATTAAGAAATACATCATTCCTCGGTTTGTAGAGTCCCCAATGAACAGCAACTAAAATGCAAGTCGTAGCAAAAACAAAAAAACATGTAATTTGTTATGTAGTAGACTGGAAGAAAGCAATATTTTGTCATGATTGATCACATGGTCTCACCTTTCGGTCAGCCATACACTTCTGCAGCTGAGGGCGGTCTACTTGCGGGTAATAACAGTTATCAGGCTGCCAGGCAATCTCCCTCCAATCACAGGTCCTGTTGTCCGAGCAGCTCAGACAGGGCACCACCCAGCGACCTGAGCAACAAGGGGGAGTTTTAAACCAGGATTAATATTATTTGAATCCAAAAGATAAGTGTGAAACAAGACAAAAGTGACCTGGTGTGTCCCCAGAGCTGCACGGCTGAAGTACACTCTCAGACTTGTTGAAAGGGTCCAGACCACAGGACTGATCAGGCCGAACCAGCAGGCTGCATTCCTGAACCCAAGAGCGGTGAATATTGGAGTTAAAGAATGGGGTTTAAAGCTTAAAGTTTAAATGCTTGACTTTACTTTTTTCGGTTTCGTAATTATAATTTGTTTGTCCCAATAGAAAGAGTCTTGCTTAAGTAACAAATCAAACCACAAGATGCTGTCCCATCTTATTAGGAAACCATTTTCTCTAATAAGATAAAAGCCAAAAATACATGCATGTGAAAACTAGTGATCGACATGGACAGAGTGACATGGATTTTATTTGATAGTTAATTTGAAAGACAAGTTCATCAGTTTACCTTCTTGACTTTGAGACCATATAATCCCTGGGTATCAAAGTCAAGGCCCCGAATGAAATATCTTGGCCTTTGAGATGATATTTGATTTCTCTTTGTAGGAGGTTTGTTTTTTCTTGAAATTACAGAGAGTCATATACAAATATTGGATTATTCATTGAATTATTACATAAAATACGGTCTTGGTTCAATAGATTGCAATATGTTTTATTGAACATTGACCAGTCCGGCCCTCGGCTTGTAGCAAATTCGTTTTTTTGGTGTATTTGACTTTGACATCCCGATATAATCCATAGGAGTGGAATAACCGATGTGCTGACGTCACCCATAGTGTTTGTAATGTTAGGGAAGTCACGTTATTCACTGGTTCAGGGACAGAAGGCACCTGATTGGTCGGACGTTAGGGGACATATCTGGATTTACAAAGACAATATCAAAATGTAAACAGCAGTCTTAATCTTTATTTATATAGCGCCTTTCACAGACCAGAGTCACAAAGCACTTTACAATTGTGGGCATTTGTCTCTCACTCCACAGAGATGGGAGTGAGGTCGCCATACACATAGGCACATCCCAGACCTATTGTACATGTTTTGTTGTTAGTGGTAGGAGGAACCGGACCACCTGGAGGAAACCGGAGAACCCGGAGCACCTGGAGGAAACCTATGCAAACACGGGGAGGGCATCTTCTTGCTGTGAAGCGAGAGTGCTATCCACTCAGCCACCGTGCCGTAATAAAGCCCAAAATGGTGAGTATGACAAACAGTTAATGAGAAAAGAGTTTCTCTTCAACGTAAGTTCTGAAATGATCTTGCACTTGTATTGAAGCTGATCTGGTTTTATCGCAAATTCCAAATAGAAAGAATCTGAATCCGAGTCAATGGGAGCCAACCGTGTGCTGGAGAAGGACTTTATCCACGAGCACTTCCCTACTGGGCTTCATTGAACTAGTGAGTAAAGCTTGGCCCATCTATATACAGTCTATGATTGAGACCTAAAAATGTTGCCTTTCATCCCCTCCTGTATGCTTTATCCTTGTGCCTCTATTGGGCAAGAGGCAAAGGTCAAATAAACTCAAGTGGCCGCGCACAGGGGCCCCGTGGGAGCGCCGACGTCTGGCACACACTTCAGACGCTTTTCCTTCTTCTGCTGGAGCTGCGGGGGTTTCTGCAGGATAGCACCACATTCTGCACAGCCCCGTCGCACATCGCAACAAAGTGAGACAAGAAAACTTAACAGGGATTTTCTTGTTCGTACCTGAGCTCGGTGTACCTGCTCAAACAGCCGCCGCCTCGTGCTCTACACACAGCAGCGGCAAGGACAAGACTTCCATCGCCTTTCATCCCGACGTGAGAGCTCCGCAAAGACTGCGTGTACTGACGACATGCTTGAGTCAACAAGAGGCCGGAGAAATCCTAACTATTCAAAGATCGAAACGTGTTTTGGATGCATAGTTTGTTTTGAGTTTACACAAATGCAAATAATGAATGAATGATTGATTAAGGAAAGAGCCTCAGGAGTTTTGCTCATCATTAGTTTCCACACTCATGATTTTGGCCTCATGCACGGATCAGCTTTTTCCAACGGAAAAATTTAGAAAACCGTCCTCACTCGGCTGCTAATAAAGTGACTCACTGGACAGTGACCCTCCATGTTCAAAGTGTTTAAAGTTTTGTCTTAAAATCCACGTTATGCTCTGGCTTTTAACACCATGTGGGTTGTGTGCTCCAGTGTATTTTTTTATATTACTAATTGAACTGTTTTTTATTATTGTTGTTTTGTTTATATATTTAATGTATGTAGATTTTTTTTTTTTTTATTTAAGTATTTTGAAAAAAAAATCAAATAAAAAAAAAGTATTTTGAAATTCATTATTCTTTATTGCTCTTTGGAAACTGCATTTTCATGTGCTATGTAATTAAACTACATTTTTTAGGTATGATTATACTGTAAAACAGTTATAATAAAAGTTAGATACTCCAACTTTAATTCTCTCTGGACCTATTTACTCTTTTCCCATCAGATCTATATTACAGGTACATTCCTCAACTGTCCTGATGAAGTGGTCTGATTCCTGCTTCTTAGATTTGTTATTGCTTTAAATGAAACAGTTTGGTACAGTATGTACGGTACATTCCTCAATTAAAAAGGCTTTTTTTCATCCTTTGAAAACTTGCCTCTCCACAGATATACCTTTGAACTTAGCCAAGTGAAGTCACATACTTGGAAAAGGCAAGTTCTATGACAAACTGTATAAATATTCAGGCAGAACAACAAGAGATAGATAAACCCAAGACAAAACTCCACAGTCCATGGTTCAGACCGGTACCTGAGTGAAGCTGCACATGACGTGGTCTCCAAACATGGGCAGACTGGGGCGGCTCTCCCTGAACACATTCAGAGTGTAGACCATGACCACGGCCTCAGACTCCCCGCCATCCGTCACTAGCGCCCGTATCCTACTTTGCCCCAGGCCGAGGGGGAGGTTGGCCATGCTGACGAGCGGAAAGAACAGTTTAATGCACTACTACTGGTGGAAACACATATCATTCTTCTTACCTCGGCCCACTGAGCTCGTCGAGGCGCACGCGGCAGTTTGCATCGAAGGGTTCTGGACGGATGCGGACCGTGACCGTGTCGAAGGGAACCTCAACACGGTACTCCTTCACTCCGGGGTCGAATGCCGGCGCGATGGAGAGAGGAGGGTCCGTGTAGATCTGTCTAAGCCGCGAGTCTACACACCCCGCTGGAATGCAGAAAATAGAATAGAGAAAAATATAGATTTTATTTCAAGCTTAGTAATAAAACATGAAATTATGATCATACTTGTATAAATATTTATATATACCATTGCCTTTTCTTTGTTGTGTGCGTCCAATACCAGCCAGAGATTTAGCCTTGGTACTTCTATCAGAAAGCAGAGACGGCAAACAGTTATTGAGACCGTTTTTATTGATCGATTTCCCAGAGACAATTGTTTTGCCTTTTTTAGCTTGCTTTATTCCTGTAATTTTTAACTTTTATGCATGTACTTGACTGCTGCACATTAGGGACTTTTGAACACGTTTGTGGTTTTACTGCAAATGGCAAATGATATGAATCTAAATCTACTTTTTTCTTATCTACGTACCATACTTTAAAGAGTTATATAAAGCCAACAGCTGGTGAAAATAATATAGATAGACGGCTTTATCTGGTCACAACATGATTTAATGAGGCGTTTTAACATGGTGTCAATGGACTCTGGTAAATCAAATACATTTTCCCATCCCTACTAGTACTTTTGCCACTGATGTAAAACAAAAAAGGCAAAAAAACAATAACACATCAGTCATTACTAAAACTTGTGTTTGACTAAAACATGAGGCTGACCTGAGGTTCTGATGTTGCTCGTAGTAACAGGCCGTTTTGATGACGAAGTCGTGGACAGTTTGAGGATGGACTGAAGAGGAGCAGTGTGTGGTGTTAAAATCAAGCTACAGCGCAAACATAAGAATATATTGTTAATCTTTAGAGAACGGGATATTTCTAACAATGTGGTATTGTTGCAGTATTTTCTTACCAGCTGAAAAGGTCCAGGTAATTTCATCTGTCGAGAGAACTGCAGTAGAAGCAGTTGGTTTTCTTCAGAGAGAGTCACACCGAGAGGTCCTGTACGACTACTGGCCTGAGGAATATAAAAACATGATGAATAAATATACAGATCTTACAGGACTATTCAGCGCTCCTGTATATAAACCGAAACCAGCTACATTTTTTCACATAGGCATCAATTGAATATAAGCCACAGGTTTTCTTGTAATGTGACTCACAAAACAAAGCCACAAGAAAACTGTTTTTACTGCTCACAACATGATTGAAGGGCGAGGTCTTTGATCTCTGGTAATGATCAAAAAAGTGTATCTATTTCGACAATAAACATCTATTCCATCTATAACTTGGAGTCTAAATAATAAAAAAAACAAAAAAAAAACAAAAAAACAAAAGGGATACTCTAACACAATAAAAGTATATATTGAGTAGTGGCGAGTCCGGGAAGTACTGTACACATAACTTTATAGATTAAAATAGGACTGTGATCCGTTGATGAAGTTTAGACTCTTTACTCACAGTTTTGGAGGCAGAATACAGCAGAGATTCTGATTTGAGCAGAAAGTGAATCATGTCTTCGAGCATCAGGTCTTTGGTGATTTTCCGATCAAAGGTTTTGTCATCCAGCGCTGAAAAGGTCCAGTCAGTGTCCACCTACAGAGACAAGGAGGATGGTCTCAGTGCCCTCTAGTGGTTGCTGTCAGAATTGCGCCCTGATGCCACTGCAGCTGCTCCTCTGACCTGAGAGCGGCTGAGGCCCAGGTGCGCTGCAGGTGTGTGTGTGTGAGAGGCTGCATGTGGTAATAAGCTTTAGTTACAGCCACTTCACTGATCAAACAGAAGCAAACACCGGCCTCTTTATCCAGGGGAATTACGCTGAGACGCGCCACACAAATTACATAATGACATGGACCCCATTTGCTTTAGATGTTACAAAGGGGCTTTATAAGTTAGAAAATTATGTTATGCACCACAGGGGAATGAGTTTTCTTTAAACTACCAGCACCTTGGAGCTCGCAAACTATATTCATGCAGCAGCAGAATAGACGACGAATTACTGGGTTTATTTTTAGTTCATTACCGTGTTAATCCTGATACATGTGCTCATAACTCGATCTTAAAGCTGGAGTACCTAACTTTTGTAGTAATAGAAGGAGTCTAGTTCAGGCATGTCCAAACTAAGGCCCGAGGGACAATTGCGGCCCGCTGCGTCTTTCTATGTGGCCCTCTGCCCTGCTAATCCCAAAATACAAATGAGTTTATAAACACAAGTTCATAGTGTCATCCAGCGAACTTCCGCTTCTCCAATACAGGCATGTCATACCTCATTGTATAGCTCTGAATGTATTTATTCGTATGCGCCGACATTTGTTTTTCATTACGGCACAATCATTTGTCTATGGCACGGATGTAGCTATTTGAGAAAGTTATTCAGCTAACCTCAGCTCTCACAGATGTTATACATGCATAAACGCTACACCTGATTTAGCATCTCAAAATAGACCAATTCTAGTCAAAATAGTTTTACAATCTGTGTTGTCGGCCCCTGGAGAAGCCTGGCAAACTAAAGTGGCCCTCTTAGTTTGTGGTCTAGTTCAAGTTCTGGGAAAATAACATCACAACATGCTATTATTTTATCAGAAAACATTGGATATTCAGCATACTGACAGCTGATTGGCTGAGTGAGACTATTTTTCTCTGACAAAGCTGGTCTGAAGACGTGACAGAGGCAAAATAATAATACATGCCTGTGAAAACTAGTGATAGAGCGAAACCGTTTTGGGAGCAAGGAACTAGTTACTTTTATTACATAGTTAATTTTTGTGATTTCAAAAAGGTAGAGTACTCCAGCTTTACATATAAAGTACATAACACATTAACGACATGCATAGAGATGAACAGTACCTGGATAACAGTGGGCGTGAGCGGTGGATTGAAAAGTAGAGTAAAAGTAAGCAGCTGGTAACACAGGAGACATCTGCAGAACAATATATAATTATGAGACATTGATACATGATCTTGACTTGAAAATAAGAAAGCTCTACCTGTTTGCGTGGTCTTTCTTGTAGGTGACCAGTGCTGCCTGCAACACATCTGCAATAATCTTATGTATGTGCTCCATCATGTCTTGATAAGAAGTCGCAAAGCCTAAATCTTCAGGTCTTAGGTTTTCCCACTGTGAGGAGGACAGAATATAAACCAACCAGCAGATGGCAGTAGAGTGAAGCTTGTAAAACATTAAACTAAAATATGTTATAAACTAAACAGGATGTGAATTCCTTTGAAAACTGTTTAGGAGGAGTACTTGAATTGGTCGAGCCTTCTCTCCATTGGGGGACAACACCGTGATGTCGTGCATGTAGGAGATCAACGGATCGACTGCAGTGATCAGGATGTAGACACTCAGCACAGCGACAGGAGCCTTGTTCACACTGGAAAAAAAAAAAAAACTTCTTTAACACCTAATAACATGTGTATTTAGTTCTTATGTGAGAGCGGTGCAGCAGCTCACCCAGACGCTCTGAGAGAATCTTTGTCTTGGCTGGAAGCACAAGAGCAGAGGCTCATGGGGATTTTGGAACCTATTCAAAATGATGAAGAATGTATAGTTTATTTTGTTGCAGATGTTTTCAAGAATGTAATTTTAGTTTACAATGAACCCTCTGTTTTAATGATAACTGAATCAAATGAATTTAGACACAGATATTAGTTAGACACATGACTCTGGATCAGATGGGTAAATACTTAAAGGGTAATATTGTGCATTTTTAGTCAGAGGTTTTGTTTCACCTGTCAAAGAAGCGTGAGTAAACATGTGACACAGCCCACCGCCGGCATCAGAGAAAGCCTTCATGATCTGGGGGACGAGGTTCACCTAAAGGAGCAGACCTGGAGATTATTACAACTGACAGTGGAAACCAGACATTGACAAATACGTTAAAAAAAAACTATTTCTGTACCCACTAAAGTTTTGAGTTGTCTAAAGTTGAGTTGTCCATAGCAGTACAAAATACACTTTACAGAGACAACAAAAAGCCACAGTAATGTTACATTAGCAGATGCAAAGCAGAAATGCATAGAGCTCCGGGGCTGCAGGAGTTCAGATGCTTCCGTCCAATTACCCGGTTTTTCTATAATCAAATCACATAGCTGTTGATCGCTTGCATAACCACTACAAGTTCTTACAGTGGTTATTTAACTCTAGAACTCCCAGAGCAGTCAACTTTTCATTTTGGAAGTATAATTACTCCACTAATGTAAGTTTTTGGTCTTTAAAAATTGAGTGAGTTTTTCTATTTCTATATGTAGTTTATATCTATATAATTGTGTTTATGAAATGATCTTGCTCCAAGCTGAGATGGCTCTGAACCAGACTAGGATCAAGCGTTGTTACCATAGCAACACACTGTTACTACTTGCATCAGTATTTAGTTTTGCTGTATTTCATTTATAATAATCACTTTGATCATGTAGTCTAGATTACTTACTTGATTTGAATAAAAGCAGTGAAAAATGAAAACTTTATTATTTTTATCTTTGTTAATAGGAGTCATTTCATTTCAGTTTCATGGCTAAGGCCATAGTAATCCGTGTACGTAAACTTAACTTATCATTTGTGTCTGTTTGGAAATGTTACTTCTCTTCTCTGTCAATATTGTAGCATTGAGCAAATGTAAACATTGTTGGTAAAATATATATATATATATATATATATATATAGAGAGAGTAATTAGATCGTACTCTTTGGTGACTCTTGAGCTGAGAGAATGGGACCCTCCGGAGGCAGCTGGTCTCCGAGGAGCTGAGGCACAGCAGCAGGCTCACCCCACTCATCCCTAAGAGACCAAAAATAATAAACTCTAAATATCAATGTATTCCATTCCTTGATTACTTTTTCTTTGATAAGATTTGTGATTAGGTCAAATAAGACCGACCAAAAAGATGAAATGAGTACTGCACAGGTGCTGCTGTTGGGGTCCATGTGGTAGTGATCATGGGAAAAACCAGGAAATGTTTTGATTGTGATCTTTTTGGCTGAGGTTCCCTAAAACTATTCAAACTGCTGTAGTTCCCTTTGCTTTAAAAACACTGTTTCTTCTGTGGCTGACCGGAAGTTTCCACCCAAAAACTAAACACACATAACTTCCTGTTCCTAAGTAGAAGCCAAAAGGAACTCACACAATATTTCAACAAATATAAAATCAAATACATTTATTATCAACAGGTACTGTATATAATAAGTTGCGCTCATGTGACATCACAATAGCCAACATATTATAGCCAGCTAAAATTAAGTATTTTATTTTACGCTGTATTTTATTAGTGTGCATCTATTTTTGGAAGGTACATTGTCGCAGTCATGTGTGTTTTTAAAAACATATAAAAATAAACTTGACCTTGAAAATTCCAAAGAGCCTATGTTTAAAATTGTGTCAGAGAGCAGCAGAAAAATCTTTCCGAGCAACTTCTTATTTTAATTTAGAGCCAATTTCTAGCATTCCTGGGCCAATCTATGAAACAATAACCTGTAAATAAACCGCACCAGCTCAGTTTGAAAGAAAAGTAGTTTTTTTCCACACGCTGCAGGTTTTCTTGTTTTAATGTACAGTAACACCAACTTCTGATGGAAAACAAAGCGGATAAGACGATAGAACTGGACACAGCATGATTCCAAGTGAATGTCGGTCAGTTTTAAAGATGAGCACTGGTTAGACCCGCCCATGCTCGACCCTGCAGCCTCCTGATTGGTACAAAATTAATTAAAATAATTTGTCCTTCGTCATTGATTAAACTGTTGTTCAGCAAATCTTAATGGCAGAAATGATGCCAAGGGGAGGCACTGTTTTATATGTTGTTAAAATACTTACTGCACATAATGGTGCACTGTCCATGGTCAGAAATATACTTTATTTTTATTTTTATTATATACAACTGTCAACTTGTCATAATCAAAGCACTCTGGTCAATCCAATCTATTTCAACAATGTCCTATCCTTACTGGTACCTGACGAGGTAAAATTAATGTTACAAGATTGTATTCTTTTCCCTTTTTTTATAAAAACACATAAATTGGCCATAGAACTACAGCAAGTGCAGTGTTTGTTTGCTCATTAAAAGGTGTTTTGTGGTGAGAATATTTTAAAACATATACATGATGTTGGCCAGTAAGGACTTCAGACATAAGAATGATATGGAGGGCTTGTGAATCTAATCACTGGGAATCCATGATCTGGGAAAACATCTCTTTAAAGAATTGCTTCTTTCCCTTCGTCAAGTACATGCATAAAAGAATTGCTTCTTTCACTGAAACTGAAATAGAACTCTACATGAATGCAATGTATTGAAAATGATGAAATCACAGCACTTCAGGTCTAATTTGTTCGTTATGTGATGTACCGTGCTTGAGAAGGCTGGTCTCTGCATATCCAGAGAGCAGGACCTCGTATCCCATCTGCTGAAGCACTCGCACGTACAGCTGGACCTCCGTATCTGTGACCACATGGCGACCGGTCAGAACTAAGGCCTTGTGACCGCTGTCCGACATGGACCGGGCCTGCGAAAGACCGCACAAGATCAGGTTAAACACAACGCAGACACTCCGCTTCAAAGACTTCAAATGTTTGTTGATAATGTCAGAGAGGAATGCACGGCGTCTGTAAAAGCTCAAAGTGAAGATAAAGCTGGATTCGAGTGGTGGGAGTCCAGCCACGGAGAGTCCACTCTGCAGCTTTGACCGCAGAGTGAAGCCGTGTTAACAGTGCTGACATGTCAAAGCCAAAAACTGAGTGATCATTTCAATGTCTTATGATTTTTATTTTGGTTATATAAGAATGTTTTGTGCAGTGACTTTCTCAACATTCAAAGATGCTTCACATGTCATTATTTTTTCACTCCAAACATGGTGGTGATAAACTACTATTTTAGCCACAGCTGCCATTGACAGAGGTGAGGCAACCAGTCTGTGCCATTGGTCCATCCAATGACCACCAACCATTCACACACATCAGACTCATTCTAGGCAATGTGTGTGAAGTGTCTTGCATAAGGACACAACAACATTTTGGCACTTTACAGCTGCAGCGCCCCACTGTGGCACCTGGTGTTCCCAGAGGTCTCCCATCACAGTACTAACCAGGCCATGCCTTGTTGTTCTGCAAATATGTGTTTTACAGGTTTTGAAATTAACGCCATGATTGATCAATTACATTATTGACAATAACATGAAGGCTTTATAATATTGGATACATGACTAATTCATGAATATCAAGTGAAATGTCTGGTCCTTACTCTCCACTCACTAACCTTATACCACAAATTATATCTAAAACACGATTGGATTCACAGAACCGATTCTCATCAATAGGATCTAGTCCTGAAAGGTACCCATCCTTATCGCATAGGTCTATTGTGATTTAAAACAACAAAGCCTAACATAACATCATTTAAATTATTATATATTTGACATGTATTAAATTCATACATTAACTATTCAGTCCTGGTTCAGACCAGAGACCTGGTTCAGACCAGAGACCTGGTTCAGAGCGGCTCACTTGTGTTGCGTTTGTGTGGAGAGGATCTCAGTTTGAGAGGTTTTTAAAGTGACCTGTGCTTTGCTGCACATCGCCGTACATATGAAATCAATGAATTAAATCCAATAAGATGTGCTTTAGCAGCAGAGTCAGATTTCAGGTGAGGGCACCAGAAGTCTGGAGCAAACACATTACCAGGAGTTACTAGTGAAATGCTCAAGTGAATCCAGGTCTGACTTGCCTAGTCTACTTCGATAAAGTCATTACAATTATAATCCAAGCCTTTGTCACAGACATCCCTGCAAGCTGGATATCAGTTGCCTGGCCTGCCAAACGATATGCTTTTTCAAAGACATATACATATATTCTTCTTTTGAACAGAAAGGAGGAGTGTCTGGCAGGCCAGGCAAGGATATCAGAGGTCCCACTAGTGTCCCAAATTTCTGATTTGACAATCCTCAATACTCAATTTATTAACACTAATAATGTTTCCATGCCCATTCTATATTTAATTAATATTAAATCTGTATTAAGATTCTGATCTTGTGTCTGGAGACATGAGTAGAGAAAATTGTCCCATGACACACTTATATATCCATGATACACACACATAGGCTCAGCAGGGAACCACCTGCATAATCCACTTTATAAATACACAGTATAAGCAGAAGTGCCCTAGACCCTGATCTGGTGTCATTACAGTGAGACACATTCCTCATATAGATCAGCAGCGCAGAGAAGGGGTATTGTACTACTTGAGTTTTCCAGACTTGCTGAAATGAGGAATATTGACTGATTTTCAGACAGAGCGCAGGTGTTATCCATAAGATGTTGCAAAACTGCAGATCTTGTTTGGCTCTGATCTGTTCTTGCAGCTCACCAACAATTTACATCTAGTGCCAAAAGTTATTATTAACACTGACAGACCTCCAGGAGCCGTTCGCATTTTTTAACAAGGACTTTACCTTCACCAGGGATCACCTACCACAGTATCTTGTCCTCCATGGTGCCTTCTCTTTTTAAGATTAAGAGATCCTTTATTAGTCCCACAGTGGGGAGATGCCAGTGTTGCATCAGAAGTTACAGAACAGTAGGAATGAGGAGCACACAGCACAAGATAAAATAACAATATCTATAATAATTACAATAACATAAAATAAAATCTAACTCTAGTATAAAGTATAAAATAAAACAGCTCAACAATCACAAACTCCGTTCACTAACGATGCTAATTTAATGTCCACAAACACACATTAAGTTAAGTCAAGTTGACATACCACAGCTGCTCAGGCGAGTCCTCATTAAGACACATGAGACAAGTCACATGACCCTGCTGTCTGTGAACTCAGCTGGAAAGTCTGCTGACAAAATGCAGTCATTGATAATAAATCTATTGGTATTCAAAGTAAAGCACAGGGCGATATTGTTAGGATCATAGCTGTTAATACTAACCCAGACCACGCAGCATTTGACAGATTGAATGAGGGGGGCCCGGATGCTTTGGCCTCAGAGTGGTCCAAATGCTTCCTGCTCACTGTGCCAGCTCCACCACACTGAGCTATTAAAGAGTGCAAAGATTCTCAGCTCAACTGTCAAAACACAAGACGACACGGCACGCTTGTCACCTGCAAGAGTTTTCACTGCTTTTGTACCATTTGGTCAGAAAGGAGGGGCTTCTATTCTCCATCTCAGAGTCAAGAGGGGATGTAATGAGGAAGAAGACAACTTCATGGGGACAATGCTAATTATGATGTCAAACCAAGTCACGTCCACAATCTCCATCTGTAAATCCAATCCTGATCAATATCTGATCTGGAGACATTCAAGATGTCACCATGGCCTGTGTTGTCATGTTTTCGTGCATATACAGTACGATACCCTGGTGTCAGAGCAGGGAGTGAAACTAAAGCCTCTAGTGTCTTATGAGCCCACCCCAGTCTAAAAATACTCAACAATGGTCAGAAGAGCAAACCTCGTTATAGGCTAATATCTTCTGTAGTATTAAAAACCTGCTCATTAGGATTGTCCATCCAGGAGAGCAGTGATGTGGAATCACAGGGTGTTTCACTTGAACTGCAGTCTCATTACACATAAACTTGAGGATGATAGTGTAGATTATTTAAAGGAACGTCACAGGTCACGTGGTGGGAGTGTATAGAAATTGAAACCTGGAGTGCCCTTCAGCTCCTGAGAGAAGGGTCATGAGGTCATTTGAAGGCTCACGGCCTGCACTCACCTGGACAGACTCTAGAGCAGAGATGAAGCGCAGACTTTTCTCCACACCGCTGTTCTCAGCGAAGGTCTCATCTGGACTGAGAGGTTTGCCGCCCTGCAGCCGGCTCCACGCCACACTGAAGGTCTGGTAAAAGAGACAGAGCGCTCCAAGCAACAGCAGAGGGCCAGACAGACGCCGGCGGATCCCGGACCCCCACCACAGGAGCCCGCCGAAAGCCAGGAGGCGCATGAGGGGTCCCAAGACTACATCGACTCATCCCATTCTCCCGCGACCTTTCACGAAGTCATTTAGCGCCTAAACATTCCCTTGCGCGCAGATGGCGCAGCAGTGTGGGCTCTGTCTACATCCCAGAGTCAAGTTAACTCCAAAATGATAGTTAAGCATAAGAGTGGACAGAAGTGCTCCAGACGCTTATCCGCTTCTCCTCTGCAAAACCCGAATAATCCTGCGCAGCGTCATTTCAGCAAAGTTTCCACTAGTAAAGTCCACAAACTAACAGGAAACTCTGTAAACTGTTCGGAAAACACAAATGTCTGGAAAATGTATAGAAATTGAAAGTTAAACGACCAAAAACGTGGCATTGAGTCTCCTTGCAGCTGAAAACAACCCAGGTTCCAGGCAGACGCAGCATCTGGTTTGAGTTAAAAACCACAGAGGAAAAAAACAACTCCAGATTTCTAGCCCGTCCTCCATCGTCAAAAGGCGCAGCAGACGGAAGACAAGGGCAATTAAAAGACCCAAATGTCCCAATGAAGTCAGACGTGAGAAGTGAAGTTTGAGTTGTCTTGACAGAAGTTCTGCTGCCTCTCAGTAGGAGGTCACCGGCCCCATACCTCTCCCCTCCCCAGCTCCAAACACTGGGCTATTTATGGAGAATGGTGTGAGCTTGTCAGAGTACTGGAAGTATTCAAGGATTCAACTCTTAAAACACCTCAAGTACGCCATAAGCAATAACGACAGGACACGTATCTTTTAGAAATGAGTATAATTAAAGCACGTAGAAATAATAAAAAACATACAACTTTTTTCTCCTCTGGAAGGAATTTTCAGTGCAGTTACTCACACAAAAAGACAACATTCTGAAAACCATGTGCTGACATTTCCATTTTAAAATCAAAACATCACAATTATCAAAATGACAGGAATGGGAAAAGGTTTTGTACAGAGCGTTTCAGTTTCACTTGATGTAATTAATGTTCTGACCAAGAAGCATGCCAATAACATCTGTGGCAAATATCCTTTTACTGTACGACTAATGATTTTGAAACTTTCACCAATTACAGACCAGTGTTCCCAAGAATTAACATGTAAGAAGAATCACACATTTTTATGTTTTTTTTGCTTGTTTTTTGTTTGAGGAACATTTAAGCTTAATTTTCACGGGTATATCCAACGTGTACTAAAGTCAAGTTTACGTTTTTACTTTTAATATTGTGAAACCAACAGCAGATGTTTTCCCACCCAACAGAAACTAAGCTAGCTTCTTCCTGCGGCTGTGATCCAATGGGTACAGAAAGTCATTTTAGCACAGTTTATATGTAATCTTTTGACCGCTGACCTTTGGGGGGTTATACCGAAAAGACTGGGACGAGGTGTGAAACTATTTGTGACGGCTGCCTCTCCTCTTCATGGCTGCTGTGCACTGTGGGCAGTACCACTTCCCTTTCGGGGCCTCAGTCAGACCCACACAGCCGTAATGGAACCATTCGATCGGGCACTGAACAGGGGAAGACGCACTCAAATTAATATATACAAGACGCATCACTAAACGTACACATCAGAATTCACCAGCTACTTACGTCTGTATTATCACAACCAACCATTTCACCATAAGAAACCTGGGAACGGAAAAGGTTTCAAATCAATTACCCTGTTATGCAATGGGCGGCGACATTTCACATGAGTCTGGTGTGTGTGTGTGTGTGTGTGTGAGAGAGAATAGTGGGTGGTGGTTGGAGGGGTCGATGGCACATGCTGGTTGCCTCGCACACACTGACACAGTTTATCACCACCGTGTAAGGAGTTAAAGAATGAAATGTGAGGCGTCTTTTGAATGACCTGAAAAAATTTTTTTTAAAGAAACATTCCAAGACTGAGAGCTTTCAAAGTTTCTCAAACAGTGGCTTGTGAACAATCAAAGCAGCAGTCACAGTGTGGACTAATGAAACTATAGGAAATTTGTTTACTGAAAGGACAGTTACATTAGAAAGATTGGTAAACCAGATTTAGCGTCATGCTACTTTCCATCTGTAGTCCCCGCCACAGCGCCACCTTCCGGAAACAATCTGTGCGTGTCTGTTGTTGTCCTTGTTCCGGTCCATGATATGTTTGTAACACAAGATGTTACAAACATCTCGTGTTTGTAATGTTCTGCACTATGCAACGCGCTTATGTTTTTGTGTTACTGCTTTTTTTTGTTATGCTTTTAAAAGCTGATGCTGTGTTTGTTGATGGCGTGTAACGTCAAACTTCCATGGGACTACAGTTGGAAACTAGCCTTCATGGTTAAATCTGGCATATTTACGTGGACACATGTTGACTCATGTGCACTGTCTCATTCAACTTAATAAATAAACAGACCTGGTTACAGATGCAGTATCTGGGCTCATTGGGGTCGTACGTCCAGTCCACCTGGCTGTTGGCCTCTGCTTCGGGCAGCACCGAGGCCTGCTGGGAGAGCTCCTGGGCCAGAGCGGAGGAGGAGGAACAAGACGAGAGAGACGAAGAGGACGAGGAAGAGGACGACTGATGATTGGAGTTCTTGACGCTACTTCTAGAAAACAAAAGAAGGTTGGGACACTGTGCACTATCTGCGTTTATAGAAGACAGAAAAAAAGATTTACTTAGACTTGCGGCCTCTGGAGTCAGAAGCAGCAGCTGGAGTCAGGGTCTGTGTGAGTGTAGAGGCCAGCGCAGACGACGAGTATCCACCATTATCCCGAGACAAAGAAAACTCTCTGCCAAGCTGGAAGTCATTGTTCTTTATTGCTTCGTAACTTGCTTTGAGACTCGATGTTCTTCTGCCCTCCTTCATCTAAAAATACATAAATCAGACGTGTAAAGTACAGCGCACAGAGAAACAAAGAAACTCTAATCAATGTCGTCAGTTCTGAATACCTTGTGCATTCTGTGACACCACCAAAAAGTCAACTGGCCCTAAACAGTTTTATTCATACTAGAATTTAGTAATCATGGATTACAACAGTAATTTTACAACGTTTGAAATCTGATTTTTGTTATATGCCAAATATGAGCAATTATTGCATCAAAATATAAGATTGAAACAAGACTTGCAGTGGTGTTTACAAACGAATCAGTGTTTTCATACTCAAACTATTCTGCTTCGACACCAGTTTTGAGCAGAGGCATAACTCTGGTGTTCACACGACTTCCTGGTCCATTCAAGGACACACAGTTCTCACTGACACTTATTTTATTAAATATGGATTTTATTGTCTAATTGTCTTCAGATTTCAATTCTTGCTTGGATTGAACCAAAACTGTACTCAAGCTAAAGAAGGCCAAGTATTGTAGACAGAGTAATGTTTTGGATGATTATGAAGATAACCGTTCATTTAAATAGGGAAAATAATTTGTAGCTTGGAAAAAGGTCCGGGGGCCATATAGAAATTAGTGGATTAGTGTGGATCTCAATGTTGCTAAGATAGACCCACATAGGGAATATAAACTGCATTTTTCTCATAGTAGTCGTTGTGGCCTGTGCTGCTCGTGACTCTTTACATTACGTCAGTTTCACAAAAAGTCCAACGCATGATCACTTTTTGATGAAGCTTTACATGTGCTTTTGTGTTTGTACACATCTCCGCTAAAATCATATCCATCACATATCACTGCAGCCGCGCTTGAGTCACGTCCTGCCCTTCTCCCAAACAAGCAGCCTGCTTAACCACGCCCACATACAGGAAAAACCATATTGAATTTAAATCGCCCGCCCTGCTGCTTCCACTACTAGGGCTGGGCGATATAATCGGTATAAGCAATATGCAATAAAAATTTGGCCAACGATGGAGATTTTTGTTAATCCGGCATATTGCGATATGTCATCAGATTGCAACACGCTTGGCCTGCTGGGACCAGCAACAACCACGAGTAGTGTGGCTACTGGATTCGCCCCGGAAACCAGATTCGTGCAGAAGTTCAGTTTAAGCATGTCTAAAAGTGTAAATAAACATGTGAACAGTTTGTGTTGTTATATACAGAATATATTATTGACTTGTGCTCATATGTATCAAGGTTCATTACGAGAAATGACACACACAAAAAAGCTCAGAAAAAAACATTTTTAGAGGCCGCACAGCTATCGCCCAGATGCGTAATGAGGCAAACACATACAGTTTAATTCTTGATTAGATTCACTGTCCTTTACTTGTTTAACTAATAAATTAATGTGTTCAAGACTTGACTATTTATGTATGAATGTACGATAACGGGATAAATTAATTTATCCCGATAAATCGTATAAACAATAAATCGTTTATTGCAAATAATGGAACTTACAAATGGGTGGTTTTATGGCGCCCTCTCTAGGTCACACACAAAATGTCAAGGAAATGCCAAAAGTATCACATAAACATTATCCAGCTCTTAAACTGAAATGTTAAATAAGAACCAATCTTGACCATTTTACGCAAGAACCTGCTAGACCTATATTGAAATTCACACACACATTATAACTGAATATATACCGCTTACCGTCTGTGTCCCAAATTATACCGAAATATGAATTTTAGGCCATATCGCCCACACCTAGCCACTACTACTGCTACAAAGTAGTAGTAAGTAATGTTTATTTATATAGCGCATTTTACAGACCAAGGTCACCCAAAGCGCTTCACAATGTTCAGAGTTCAGATATTGTTCCAATCCTTCCACACATGGTGATGACAGAAGCGAGTCGCCGAACACACCGACGCATCAGCCCCCAATCAACACCATCCATACACACCTATTGTGCATGTTTTTAGTGGTAGGGGAAACCGGAGCACCCGGAGGAAACCTACGCAGACACGGGGAGAACATGCAAACTCCACTCAGAAAGGCCCTGTTCCAACCGGGATTCGAACCCAGGAACTTCTTGCTGAGAAGCGAGAGTGCTATTCACTCAGCCACCGTACAGCCCTATCATAATTCAAGTGAAAATAATAGTTTAAGCGATTAGACGTTAAATACTTATTTTGAAAAAACATTTGAAATGTTTTTACAATGATTTTCTTCGAAGCTGATGGGATCGGCATCAGTCAATCAAACTTTAGAAGATTGTTATCAGGGGTCAGCCTAACAAATCTTGAGCAGTTGGACATTGGTTTTATCATGGACAGATGAATCTATGACCCCCACCATCTTGAGCGCAGACCATGTAATGAAAACCAGTGCACACACCAGGCAGGGAATCTGAGTTAAGGGAGAGATAATGATAGAAAAGACTTAATGCAAATGTTACCTGTGCTGTGGCTTGTACCGCCTGAGCAGCTGCCATGGAGATGGCCCCGGCCCCAGCAGCAGGACCCGCCGGTAATGAGCTTAGATTGTAGGATGCTAAAGGTTGAGATGAATTTACACTGTAGACATTATTGGTGGTAGATGACGTGCTGTTGGTTCGACAACCTGCAGATATCCATGTTATAATAAACACGTCGAATGAAAATGAATCAATACAAACAAGAGTTCTTTCCACCTGGTGTGTTCTCTTTGGAGGCATCTGAAGTGAGAGTGGACAGCAGCACCTCAGACTTGAACTTCTTCTCAGGAACATGTTCTGTCGTGTGATGGACTGGAGCACTGTATTTTCTCTCTGTAAACAAATGGGTCCGTTATTAAGTCTACAAAATGCTGATACTTTTGGCCAACACGTGACTTACTCTCTGCAGTAGTGTGGGAATGAGCATGGTGGTTGTTCACTGGCTGAGAAGGACTGTCCATCTCCAATGATCCTGTCAGAATAAGACAGTCATTCATTGTCTGTTTTTATTTACGTATATTAAATTAAATGAAAGCAGACATACGCCTCTCAAGGATTTCCGTGATGCCGGCATTGTCAGCCTCAAGTTCCATCTTAAATTTAGCCAGTTCTTGGTCCAGTTTACGTAAATGACGATCAACCTGCAACAATGATGATAAAACTGAAGTGACTAAAGCACACAAAAGGAATCTTTGTGTTAATACAGCCCTCTAGTGGTCAATAAATGACATTACTTGTAATGAATATGACTTAAAATGTAATTTGTTTAATTTTAGTCAACATCTCATAGGTAAAGGACAATTCCTAAAATGAGAGTGCATCAGACCTTATATACCCAATAGTTATGATACATAATTATATAATGCAGACATACATCTAAAATAGCAGTGAGTGAAACACTTACTAGATCATAAATTTGATTAGCCAGCTGGACTTTCTCATCTGCATCCTCCAGAGCTTTGTAATAATCCTGTGAAAAAAACATTGATATAAAAAAAGAAAGAAAAAAAGGTCAGAAATGTCATGAATTTGAAGTATAACTGTTGAAGTGTCAGTCTACCTTCTTAATAACTTCCATCTGCTCTTCTCTCCATTCAGGTTTGTTCTTTTTAGCATTGACAAAGTACTCAATGACCTTCTGTTCCAGCTGATCTGTAGCATCTGCAAAAAACAGTATTGGTTTAAGGAATAGAACATATATCATAATAAGTGTGATTTTATTTCATGGTTTATGCTCTCATATGCTCTTATGAAAAAAAATAAACAATACATCTAAATAAAGTGGGGTAGTGTGAAGACTACGTCTTATTTAAACCCCAACCCCATTCATGACAAAAACACAAACAAACAGATGGCTTCATCATGCCATCAATCTTACTTAAACATTTCGGAGGTATACACTAAAACAACAAAACAACAATCTTCTCGCTCATCACAAAGAGGCATGTAGCCGGTGTTGGCGCACATACTTTGAACCTGCAGGTCCATCTCCCTCATTTCCGTAAACCTGTCGCGGAGATCCATGGGAAGCTGCTCGATCACTACAAAAGAAAAAAAAGCATTACCTTGCTAGCCATGCTAGGCTAACAGCTAAAGCAAACACAGCCAGCAAACGCCACTTATTTCGACAACATAACGAAGTTATTTAGCCATAGCTGCTCAGATACGTGATAAAACTCACTTTCGAGATAGTCTTCGAGGTACAACATTATTGCAAATGTGTCGTTTTTCCAATTTAATTTGATTATTTTTCTCTTTCAATATGGCGCCGTCAGCCGCTGTTCTGCTCTGAAAAAATACATCCACAGGAAAAGTGACGCAACAACTGTCGGCATCCTGATTGGCCAATCTTAAACGAGGTGGTTCATGGGACTTGGAGTTTGTATTGTCGAGTAAACACATTCTACAGGAACTGAGTGTAGTGTTTAGAAACAAAAAACTACAGATTAACAACTGCAAGAGGAGGACATTTGGAATGTATTATTCGCACACCACTGAGAGCTGTATAAATAGGGCATCTGATGTGTATTTTTTTAATTGATTTATGATTAATTGATTTATGATTTATGATTGATTAATTCACTCTAATCACATCGCGCAACCAGCAGCAGGTTGACAAAGCATTTCAAAAGAATGAGCGGTGTCTGGTGTGGTGTTGCCAGCGCCTCTCCCATAACTCCGTAACTGCGTGGCTCCTCACTCCATCATGAGGGAAAGTGAGAAAGCACGTGTTCTGGATGTTTTCAGAACCTTTCCAAGGACGGAGTAAAACGCGCGCGTCAGAACAGACCCAGCGCCTGTATGGGGCACGAGAACCGCCTCCGTCAGTGAAGAGCTCCGTGTGAAGAGCTCCGTGTGAAGAGCTCCGTGTGAAGAGCTCCGTGTGAAGAGCTTTGTGTGAGGATCTTTGTGTAGTCCGGTGTTATTAGAGAATGTTGCCAAGGTAACAGCCGAAGTGCGGTCGCTCCAGGCGGGATGGCCCGGCAGGACGCGGTGAAGTGCCTGCGCTGTCTGCTCTACGCACTGAACCTCCTCTTCTGGGTGAGCCATATGCAACATACTACAATACTAATAATGACACATGCTGGTATAGCGTGTACCACCACTTTCTTACACGGAGACAATTATCAAATGCGGACGACTGTTTCATTTCACAACTGCATGTCATTTGCTGTACGGACTCGAGTGCATCGCTGCCGTGTTGTCATTTATCCCAGGCATGTCCATTGTTGGGGAGAATATTTTGCAAATGTATTTAGCTGCAGGAAACTGAAATTTGAAATGCTTTTAAATGTAGGCTGTAATGTATTCCGTTATGGTCAATCAGAGAACGCACTGTTTGTTTTGTTTTTGCACTATTTTTGCTTGTTTGTTATCCTTCATTTCTATATAACATACTGAAGAAAAACTGAAATATATTAATGAAATTATTGAGAAGTAATGATTCTGAAGAGCAGAATACTCCCCAACATGGATAATACAATACTATTGATAACAAAACCTCCTCACACAGTGTATATCACTACATTTTTCTACTGCTGCATATTTTGCTGGGTGCATCGCTGCTGACATTGCAGGGCTTTTTTATTCTCAATGTGATTTTCTCATTTGTGAAGAGCTAAACAGTTGCGCAGTGGAAATAGGTTGCAGTGTTTGTGGGACCAGGCTTCACATTCTGAGTTGTTATTTGTAGGCAACAGAAACTGATCTGAGAGAGTTTATTTTTGTGTGTGTTTATTTCGGTTTCTCCCAGCTCATGTCAGCTTGTGTCCTGGGAGTGGCTGCCTGGATCCGAGACTCACTCAACACTGTCCTGACCCTCACGGCACACACAAGGTGAGTTTGGGGTCTTCACTCTGGCACCCCTGTCCTCGTGTAGGACCTAGACACAGTGATGACTCCTTTGAGCACTGTAAATAAGACGGACTAAACAGGGAATCCCCAAGTCTGTAAATCATTAATGAGGTATTATATTTGATGGAGCCAAAACCATGTGTGTGTGTTTTTAACCTGAGTCCTGTCTTGTTGTTCATGTTTGTAAAGTGATGCCACACCTGTTTTTACTGCTGCAAAGCAAATATGCTCACAGGTACAAAATAATTAACCTGAAACTGAACCTGAATCTATTTGATCAAGAGGGTCATTAGGTCCAAAATGAGAAAACCAAGTCATGCATTAGATTTTCCCTGAACGGCATAAAAACACAATTTAAAAGGCCTTACATTTCACTTGATCAATTTGCATTCATGCCCTTTGACTATCCACACTTTAATCTCAAATCAATGTAGCAACATATTTAGTTTTTTCCACTTTTTCCACTATACATTCTTGTGAAAAAGTCTTAGCAAAACAAACACACATTTGAATAAGAAGTCAAAATTAGATTAGCTTGCAAACTGTGGAGAGGTAGCCAGCTCTATCAACTGATGATCTCCAGAGCTGATGACGTAGCACACATTCCTGCTTCCTGGTGTGTTTATGTGAACAGCAGAGATCAGACTCAGAGAAGTGCAAGGAAATACATGGGATTGTTTTGAGGCTATTGTCAGAAAAGAGTTTATGGATTTGGACTCTATCAAGTTTTCGTAGCAATGTTATTGTCAAAAGAGAGCGCTTTGATCATAACGAGTCACCCATTCATCTGCAAGCTTTGTTTTGCTCTATTAGCTGTTAGTAAGAGTCATATCAATCAATCTTTATTTGTGGAGTGCCTTTCCTACACAGGGCAACACAAAGCAAATTTTACAACATGAAAATCTAATATTCAAGTGTGGCCTGAATGTGGGGAAAAAAATATGTTCTCTATAAGTTTTATTGTCTCTTTTTATTAGCTTGTGAAGGACTGTGGGTTATACTGTATGAACTGTAGTTACATTTGAGAGATTGATTGATATATTTAGCTGGTACAATTTATATACAGATGCGCTTAGCATTTGAGCGAGTACTGTTTTTCCATGTTTTCGTGTTACTATTCAAACAAGTGAATGAATAAGATGTGTTTACAGATTAGAGGAGGCGGCGGTTGTCACGTATTCTGCTGCAGTTCACCCTGTTGTCATCGCGATATGCTGTTTTCTGATCATCGTGGCCATGGTTGGATACTGTGGCGCACACAAATGTAACCTACTGCTTCTATCCTGGGTGAGAACCGTTTTACATCACAGACTAAAACTAACTAAAACCCATGAATGAACTGAGTACATTGAACCGTGGCTATAACGCGGTCCACCTTCCATGGGCCTCTCTGTTTGCGATTTATTTTGTGTGTGATTTAGTAATTTTACAGCGTGTGTATACTCCAACAATATCATGAAATCATTAGTGCAACATGACAGTTACCTTTGAAGTCAGAAGAAAACTTTTGTGGCTTGTGCGCATCTTGGTGATTGAACTCACTCCCACAACCCATCAGAAACTCCAGCTCACTACAGAACTTTAAATCACTTCTCAAAATCCACATGTTTCACCTTGCCTTTCTTTAAATTTGTTCTTCAATTTTTATGTATGTTTTGTAAAGCGTCTTTGAATGTCCAAAAAGCGCTGTACATAAGTTTGCTGTATTATTATTACTATTATTATTATTAGTTCAGAGGACCACCACGGTCTTCCTGTAGTCCTCAGTCGTGCTCCTGCCCCTCAGCGCAGTGGTCTCTGCAGCTGTATTTTACAGTGTATGCACTGCTTTTGAAAGCTGCAGCAGCATTCAGACCTACAACGAACAGGTTTGATATCCCAGCAATCGCACTTCAGCCGTCGTGAATTCAGGTTGTATGAAAATTGTATAAAGTGTGTGTGAGGGGTTTTACAGCCTTAAAACAAAGAGGTACTACTTTGCAGATTTTGCTTATTGTGGGTTATTTTTAGAACGTACCCCCCTGTCAAGATTCAAGATTCATTTATTGGCCATGTGCAGTTAAAAAAAACCACATTGGAATACATTCGCAAGAAAGGCACTCCGTGTGCACCGACAGAACAAAAACACGACACAATGCAATACAAAACACACATACACTGAACATAAAACAATAAAAAAAAAAAACAGCTGACACTGTGGCACCGATCAACAAAACAATACAGGGGTAAAAGCAGTTTAAAAGCAGGTAAAAGCAGAAATTAAAATGCTCTGTTTAGGCACCTAACAGCCTGTGGGAAGAAGCTGTTAGCATAGCGAGATGTCTTGCATCTCAGTGACCGATATCTTCTGCCAGAGGGAAGAAGCTGGAACATGGCTTTCCCAGGGTGGCCAGAAGAGTCGTTGATGATTTTACGAGCTTTGTTTAAAAGTCTGGATCTGTAAAGAACCTCCAGAACAGGAAGCTCACAGCCCACGGTCCTCTTTGCAGAGCGGAGCACCTTGTTTAAAGCTCTCTTTTCTTTATCTGTGATGTTTCCAAACCACACAGACACAGAACCAACAAGTAAACTCTCAATGGTGCAGCGATAAAGTTTTTCTGTTTTGAACAAGGGACCCCCGTAAATATAAGATAAATGTATTGTTGTTGTATTGACTATAGTTGGCATTACAGCAGGCTCTGTGTCAGCTGGATCACCTGTGTGTGTGTGTGTGTGTGTGAACCATTACGGCGAGCTGGGCCAGGATTCAGGTGTCCCCATTGTCTCACACAGAAGATAAGTTTGTCCCTGCAGGCAGATTCAGGCTGTTGAAAGATAGGAAGCCAACAAGAAACAGGAAATGCCCCTGCCCCAAAGACACCTGGGAGATCTCATCACAATGGAGACACAAAACTCCACCTATCCTGAACACAGTCTGAGCTCTTTATTGAGTAAAGCAGTGTTGTTCTGTCTTGAGTACCCCTTAGATATAGTCTTACACAAGTTACCATTAGTTTTCTATGAGGACAACACACATTGTTACTGTTTCAGGGATATTTGTCTCGGAATCCTTCTCCAGGATGTAACATTGAAATCCAAAGCACTTGGAAGCTGATATCATCCTAAGTTTGCACTGGACCCTGCACCGCTGTTGAGAAACACTGTGGTAAAGGACAACATCAGCATTTCTACTGTTCAGCAACAAAGATGGAAGTGTATGTTTGGCACATTTTAAAGTTAAATCAACCAATCACATTTTATTTTTAAAAGCACTTTTCATACAAAAGTGTAACAGTTTTAAGTCGGTATAAAACATTCCCACGTGCCTCTTGAACAGATCCATAATGTGTTATAAACCATATTTATTGTTGATTGAAAAGCTTCATATTTGACACAATCCAAGATAGATACAAATATATATGTTTTTGCTCCTAACCTGAAACACCTTACACCTGTATAAACCTTTGTACTTTCACATGATTTGTTTTGGGGTGAAGAGTTCAGTCTGTCCAACTTGACAAATGAGACATCACGGCTTGAATATTCATTTTATGCACCTGTTTTATCATTTAGCTCATGTCAGTTTAGTTTCCAAAACAGAATGGGATTGGAATGGAGCAAAAGATGATTATGTTTTGCTTATGTCTGTTTTTTGACAATAGTTGCCTACATTATGGAATTATGTTTTCAGCTGTGATGATGTGCGATAGGTTGGATGTTTTGCCAAGATCCAGATTATGGAGAAAACAGGTTTTAGACTCTAAATCTTGTCTCTCTGTCCTTACTTTAGTATTTCTGTTGTCTGCTGGTGATCTTCTGTGTGGAGCTAGCCTGTGCAGTTTGGACATATGATGAGGTAAGAATATAAAACTTGTTATCTTTACAACAGTGAGCTACAAATGTTAGCTCTGCACACAGATCACACTGTGTTTGAGCAGAACCATAGAGCAGCTGCAGTCAAACATTCGGCTGCTGATACAAACTGTAAATCTAAAAATATCCAGAAATGCCAGTCACGTCCGGCGCATACTACATCTCCAGTTTCACACATCTATGATCTAGACATGCAGCTTTACTGCCAAATATTACTAGACTAGAGCAATGGTCCTTTCAATTTCCCCAAAACCTGGAGCCCCATTTCCCAGGGTCAGAATTGTTGTATTTGAGATAGTAATTAAGTTTCTGTGAGTTTTTAATGCTTATCTTAAAGCAGATGTCACTCTCTGCTCTCCCACCTGCAGAGAAACAGGGCCAGATCAATGCGTGGTTATCATTGCCTTTTGTGTGATTTGTGGTATACAAATAAACTCACCTTATCAATGCCTTGTGTTTAGCCCGCAGTGCAGCGCTCAGACATGATCAGCCTAAAGTCCCGGATGCCAAACTACGGCCTCCAGCGTTACCAGTGGCTCACACACACCTGGAATAGCTTCCAGACCGAGGTACAAGACGCCGCTGTAAACAACGTAACGTCATGAGGCCATCTTAGTATTCTTGTTTTCTCGTTCTAGTATAAATGTTGTGGAGTCATCTACTTCACTGATTGGTTGGAAATGACAGAGTTGGAGTGGCCCCCTGACTCCTGTTGCTCCAATCAGTATCCAGGGTGTGCTCGATATGCCCACTACCATGACCTCAGTGATCTGCATCAGGAGGTCAGGCTGATGATACACTGATGATTCACTGATGATTCACTGATGATTCACTGATGATACACTGATGATTCACTGATGATACACTGATGATTCACTGATGATTCACTGATGATTCACTGATGATACACTGATGATTCACTGATGATTCACTGATGATACACTGATGATTCACTGATGATTCACTGATGATTCACTGATGATACACTGATGATTCACTGATGATACACTGATGATACCGTTGTTCAGTTCTGTTTTAATCGGTTTTTCACGTTTGCTTCATATTTCAGGGCTGTGGTCCAAAGATCTACAGTTTCATTCGTGGGACAAAGCAGCTGCAGGCTTTGCGTTTCTTGGGAGTGTCCATCGGTGTGGCTCAGATTCTTGCTATGGCACTGACTCTTATGTTGCTCTGGGCTTTGTATTATGGACACAAATGTCCAGTGCCAAACGCAGTGATGGACGCACCAAAGGATCCCAGCGCGACCTCAGTCACAGGGAGCACCTGACCTCTCTTTGACCATCACAGTCTCTGACTTACCCCACACTGAGGCCGAGGGACAGTGGGCAGTATAAAGGGTTTTTGTTTTGTAGAAATGTTTTCTCTTAAAATATTTATCATTTCTTTATTTATAATAATTTATTAACATAAATTGTATTTTTTTCCACAATTCAAAAACTTTTGGGCATTGAGCTTTGTTAAAACAGCAAAAGCATGGTTCATTACATTATTTTTTTACTCCAGACTCAATGGTGACAAGTCACTCTAACTTCAGCTGCCCTGGGGCAGTCTGATAGAAGAATGACTGTCAGTCTGTGCCATTGACCTCTCCCACCATCTCCAAAGTTTTCATGGCTGGATACTCTCATGTGTAACTAAAGACTAAATGACTCTGGAGCTTACATTTACAGTCGATTATGATGATTTTTTTCACTGGTTGAGAAAAACATTTGAAATGTACTTTCATTCTGCCCTGGAAGAGCGTGTGCTTCCATTGTTAGGTTGTTGAACTGACATTAACCACCATCCATCCAGTTTAAAACAAGAGTTTAATTTCTTGAATGACAAATTTGGGTTTGTTCAAAAATAATAATTTTCTGTGAGTTTTGCATTAGCATGGTACTTTATACTTTTGTCATATTTTGTAGTACATTATTAAGTTAATGTTCTGGAAATATTTTAGACATGACTGATTTACCAAAACCACTATATTTTGCACTGGTAACGAAGATTGATAATAAAATAATCAAACGTGTTACGGTGTTTGTAATAACGTTTTTATTATTCTTTTCACACACTGCACTGGACAAAGTCATCATTCATGGATTCATGGAAGTTGTTTTCAATAACCTCATTGATTCACATTGTAATTACACAATCTCTAAAAAAAAATATTTGAACGGTCTCAGTCCTCAGTACAGTGTTACCAGTACTGTACTTTGTGAATATAAGTCCACAATAGACATTTTCTCAGTTTGCAAAGGTTTGGCTGGGCAGCGTTCTATTCTTTCTATCTCTAAGTGACGTGACCTCTGCATGCACTGGGAAAACCTGGAAAATAATAAATAAAACACAAATTTACTACACACAATAACAAGAACATTGAACTAGCAAGATTGTAATGAATATAACTTTCTTCATCAATAATGCAACGTTATACTACTCAAAAATATGTTTCTGTATATATACACAACCTGTTTCGGCTCGTCAATATACAGTATAAAAGCAGATATTGTTACAAAAAAGGACAAGAGTGAATTGCATAATGTCACTTCAAGTTAAAGTGACAGAAGAACGATGTTGGCGTCAGTGTTTGTCGAACTATAAAACCAAATATCCGCTGTATTTCAGAAGTCTGACCTCGGCATCTCGCTGACATGATCGAAAGTATTTTTTACAACCAATGATAATAAGAATTGAAACAAAGACTTTACATTTCATGCATTTTCAACATTAAATGAATCATCGATCACTTTTTGCCCGTGTGGCAGGGGTGTCAAACAGGCAGATGTGGGCCCTGGGCGAGACCAATGTAGAGGCCCCCAAAATGATTTTCAATTACTACTTGCAAGCATTGGATATTTAGATGTTAATATTCAATTTATTTTGTTTAGCCCGAAATCACGATGTAGTTGTCTCGGAGGACTTCACAAAGTTGTTGATTTGCCAACAACAGATCAGAGAATCAAGCAGTTTGAACATCGGAAATGGAATAATAACAAACACAAAGAAGCCAAAGGGTCATAGGGAGCGGGATGATCAATGTCCTTAGACCCTTCTGTATCTGCAACAAACGACTCAAAATGGGCTGCCATGGCATGTCCTACATCATTTTAAATAATAATCGGTAATAATAATCAGTCTGCAATCCTTCTCTGCCTTTAGTCAAGTTATGATTCAGGCCAACAGAACTAATTTTGTTCAGAAAAATCTACCAGAAAATAAAATCCAAATGCATGTCAAAAAAAGTAATGAAAAGTACAAGTTTGACACCCCTGCACAGACCATAGACTGTATATAGATGGACAATGTGTATCCCCTAACTCAATGAAGCACAATAGGGAAGTGCTCATAGACAAAGTTTTGCTCCTATTGACCTAGATTGAAAAATAACTCCTCTAGCTCAGTAGCTGTTTGTCGCACACTCACCATTTCAGGCGTAAGACATCCTTGGTTTTGCGCTCTCTGTGTTTACGTTTTGAAATCCAGATATGAGCCATATAAGGCTTGACCAATCAGATGACTTTGTTCGCCAAGGAAACTTCAGCACGCTTTAGCAACTGCCATAGAAACACGTCTGCCCCTGTTAAGGTGCGATGATAATTCACTTAAATTCCCATACAGAGAAATTGGCTCCAGCTAGCTTCTGTTCAAAGCGGCTTATTCCACAGTAAGGCGTGGAACGACCGACGCAGGTTTCGGTCGTTCCATCCCTAATATACAGTCTATGGCACAGACCCTCGGTTCAAAACACTAGCAATAGACAGAGTTTATGTAAGAAACCCATGTGACTATTGCAAACATTTTAATTTAACTGTAAATCATTTTTAACGGACCTAGTGAAGCAACAAGCAGGTAGTAAGATAAGAGGTAATATTTGTTTTGTTCTATTTGACATCAGTCTTGTTTCCATCGCCGCCATAACGAGCCACTAAAGCAGCAGCCCACTGTGGTAAACATAAAAACCGGGTCAGTGAATATTTACAATCGCACATTCAGTCAGATCCGCATGCACAACACCAGCCTCCACATGCACTCAACACACACACAAAAGCATGCGCGGAAAGTCATCCAAAACCACAGATCCACCTCATCCCGTATAAATGTAATCTAAACAATGATCATTTCTGGATATCCCTCGTTCTTGCCAGTCAATAGTCAGTGATATTTTAATGAACCCTGAAATCAGGAAACTCTCAAGACATAAACCAGAAGGACGATTGTAAACTATTGTAGTAAATCAACTGAAAACATCCTGACCAAACACAAAGACTGCTACAGTAAATGTCTTTGTTTCCTCAGGTTTTAGAGGGCCTTAATTAGTTTGATGCTAGGATTGACCGGCAAAACACTATGGTATAATGAGGTGGGCAGAGTGGAGAAACAGAAACGCTTTAAACTTGATAGATGTATCGCAATCAACTAATCCATCCTCAGAAATACTGTCAAAATCAGTTCTGTTTTTTCAAATGCAAAACTAGGCGTTCAATAGGGTTTTAGTCTTTGTTGCTACATTTAATATCAATTGCATTGATACAAACTATGTTTCCATGAAGTCAATAAATGGTTGAATTCAAAATGAGTGCATACAAACTGATGCTTTGCTCCAAAGAGCTCAGTTATTCCATCCTTTATCTTTGCAAAAGCTGAATCCCTGCTGAGTGAGTCTGGTTGGGCCATGTCCCCTCTGCAGGGCACAGGTCTACAGGGCCGAGACCCGCACTATGTTTGCTTGGGAATAGTCCGGGGAGCTGGCAGACTCGTCCCCCTCTGGTGTGGTCACAGGGGGCGTCGGCATGCTGATGACAGCAGCTGTGGTGTACGGGTGATCACAGTTCAGGGGGACAGTCTCTTCAAATTTGGCGTTCAGACTGGAACGACTGCAGCGGCTGCAGACAGAAGCAAAACAACACAAATATTAAAGTGTGATATTACAACTTTTGGTTGAATAAAATACAAAAACACAAACTGATCTTGCATCTGTGGATATTCTGAGAATCATGCACAGCAGCACAACAAAAAGGCAGATTCCTGACGTATAAAGGGTTTTAAATTGTGTTCTCTGGATCCGTATTCTATAAAAACAAAGGTTTCTTTCATCTACACATAAAAAATTTGCTCAGCATTTGCTCAAATAGAATGTGATCAGTTACATAAAGACATTGTTTCAGTTGGTGAGGCAGAGTTTCTCTGCTGTGGACAGAGGCTGTGTGGAGGAGTCCGGCTCAGACCTCCCACAGCTGCACTCAGAGGATTCTTTGGCAATGACTCATCATGGGAAATATGCATCACATGACTGTGTGCCATGTGTTTGTGTACACTGTGACTGTCCTGTTGGAGAGGACTGCTGTTTTGACCCAAATATATATTTATACTTTTATATAGAAACCTCCATTACAGTGTAAAGTGTTTTGTATTACTGTCTAACAGATAAGATTAAAAGAGTTGTCACATGAGGCTATAAATAAAGAGACAAGATGTGAATTGGAACTAAATTATATAACATTTTGTACATGGTTTGTGAAAGATGAGGAGGTGCGTGCCTGTTGTTGAGAGGTCTTTCTCGGATGTGAATGGTGCTGAGCTCCTGGATGCCCTGCAGACCCACTGACATGTTGGAGTTCGGGACGTTGAAGCTCTTTCTCTTCCGCCGACCGCAGCAGGAGCTCAGGCCGTGAGCCGAGGAGCTGGACGAGATGGAGGAGGTGCGGGACATCTGCTTGACCAGAGTCTCCTCCTTGAAGGTGGCCTCGAACGTCTTCTCATCGACAAAGTCATGGTTCTAAAGAGAGAGGTCAGTATTATTGTAGCTTTTATCAATGAGTTGAATTGTACTTTTCTGTGTTTTCTTACTGTGGTTTTCTCGAGGCAGTTCAGCAGATGATGGTGATGCTCCTCAAAGTTGGGGTTGGTCTTACACACAAGGGCTTGCCCCGCTTCTTTCGAGGCCTTTAGAGCAAAAGAATACAAAAGAATATTTGAGTATGTTAATGAAAGGTTTTGCAAGCCACCAGATCTAACACACAAGATTACCCCTGACAAGAATATAACTCCTAAATCCTAAACAAGTAATTGTTTCAGTGTTCAGCCAATGAAAATGTGTAAAATAACTGTTTTCTGATATTAAGATTAAGAGATCCTTTATTTGTCCCACAGTGGGGAAATTTCAGTGTTGCATCACTATTAGAGCAGGCAAAGAGCAGGACTTAACATGACCGGATGAATTTTAAAAGCCAGAATTCCACATGGATTCTCTCCATTGAGCAGGCCATGTTTCCATAATGGTCAACATCGCTTCTTTGTCTGATGGACTGAGGTAGTGAACATGAGGGAACAGCTGAGCCACACGTGTGCAACCAAACAACACAAGGTGTGTTAGCTTTGGTTCATTTACAATGTTGGTGTGTTGAGAGAAACACATTAAATCAAGCATCAGTGTTATTCCAGTCAGTGATGCTACATCTCCCATGTTTTAGTTTAAGAACATCACGGACATGTAGCCATGTGTGAATATGTTTCTGGTAGGTTAGTTTAGTAGATGTTAAATGTCCCGTGATGGAGGGAGATGGTGAATACTGGGCTCTGAGTCACAGCTCAGCGAAGAGGAGAAATACATAAAACAAAAGAGGAGAAAAACACCAGCACCACCTGCATTTCCACTGTCGCCTTCTCATTCACCCTGGGTTAGCCCTGCTATTCTCACCAACAATTCTGGAAAGCCTGTTTTTTTGTTCAACATGCACAGATGTCCATGTTCTGAGAAATCTAACTCAGCAAGACCAAAGACACCAGTTAGAATATTCTTTGTTTAGTAAGGGCTGCAAATGTTTGAGGATGATTTGTTACATAAAAGAAAGCACAAATAGTATCTAGTTTGAGTATCATTCACTCAAACACCTGACTCCATGCTAAGCAATGTGGGTGAAGTGTCTTGCCTAAGGACACAACAACAGCTGCAGCCGTCCCACTGTGGCACTTCCAAGTACTAACCAGGCCTTGCACTGCTTTGCTTCTGAGGTTTGATGGGATCATGCTTTCACCTGCAGGTACCACCAGACCACGTAACACTGAGTGAGGTCACCCAAGGCTCATCTCAAATATTCTCTCAGCTTTTTGTAGATTACCTTCTGTGCTTTTCTCTTCTCGGCCCTCTGGCTCTGGTGGTAGATCCGGCTGAAGTTGGACACAATGACGGGCACAGGCAGAGCAATGACCAGCACACCACTCAGAGAGCAGATAGAGCCAAAGATCTTCCCCATGATGGTCTTTGGTACCATGTCCCCGTACCTGAGAATGGAAAGCAGGGCTGAGTCAGCACAGTTTATCACAGTAAATGATGCAGCACTATTACTGATGGCCAGCGGAATGTGAACTCCAATCCAAATATGAACAATTTCAGCACATCTAAATGTAATTCAACTGATGATTGTTAAAAATGAATGTACAGCCTGCGAGTGTTGACACTTAATACATTATTGTACTAATGCAAAATCATATTTTCAGAATCAGCAGTAAAAATGCTGAGGCGAGAAGTTTTGTCACAGCATTTATGAATTGAAGATAAAGTTCAGTGGGCGACCACAAGAGGGAACTGTGGAACTGTGAATCTTTGCATTATCGTGAAGAGCAATGCATAGAAACTATAGAACGTTCACTTGGATTCACCAATTTGAATTGGGGTGTTTTTTGTGTTTTCCTGCCTAAAGCCAATTATAATACCTCTGAAGTAGAGCTGCTACGGAAATGCATTCATAATTAACTATTAGAATAATTGTGGATTAATTAATGAAATGCTATGTAAATATCTGGGGGAAAACAGTTAACATTTTACGTTGGAATTTTACTCCATGGTGATAGATAAGTTATCTGCCAAACTTTGAAAGAGCGAAGCAAAGTTAATAACAACAGGAAAAGTACATGAGCTTAGAGCAGCTGCAAGTCTGCTCAGGGGGTATGAAGATGAAATGCTTCAGTGGTCAAAAAACCCATTAGCAACTCTATAATAAATGAAAAAAGGAAGACTAAATATATTAAATGTTGCATATTTTGATAAAGTTCCTAATAAGCATTATTTTGTATCTTATATTATCATTATTTTTAATTTGAACTTTATTAGAACTGATTACAGAGAGAAGACATGGGAAAGTTCATGGCGACCAGTTTAAGAACAACTGCATTTGTAGCAAAATGGGCTTTGATGTGGTTGAAGGACACACACAAACACCCACACACACACACACACAGGCACACGCACACACAGATACACGCACACACAGGCACACAGGAATACACCCGCACACACAGAGACACACACTCACACCCAAAGACACAGAGGCACACGCACACACACACTCCTGAGCAGTTTCTATTTCTGTATCGGAGCCTGCTTCATGCACAAGGTCGTGGCTCCTGATAGGCCGCCTGCTGTCCACCAGGGCCCTAGTGCGGAAGTGACCATCATGTGCTCAGTCACTGTCACAAAAGTCCACGTCACCTGCCGATCACTTTCTGTTTGTCTTGTAATTAAACACGACCCGAGGCTGAGAGACATTATGATCCTCGGAGAGAAGATGACAATGAAGGCCAATGAAACCAGATATGAGAATTATTGCAGTTTAAATTACACAAGTTTAATCCCTAATCAATAGCAAAGCGAAAGTGAAAAATATATAAAAATAAGAGTACAAACGGGCATGATTTAGAAATGCGGCTCCAGACTAACATTCAACCACAAAACATCAGCAGCCAGATCGAGCTTTCGCCGCTGTCAGCACTTCTCACAGTCCCACAACACAAGTGCACGTGAATAATGTGTTATGAATAGATGGTTATTGATTAGAGCGGATCGACTGGAGATTAAAACTCAGCCCCTGAAGGCACTTTTCTCAGGTATGTTGTGGATTATTAATGAAGTGAGTCTACTGTTGGGTACATGGATTAGCGTTAGTCTTTAACAGCAGCGATACACTTTACTCTACCCTTTCAAAACAGCCAATGAGGCATCTTTAGTTTTAATTAAGAGATTATGATCAATCTCTGTAGCTTGTTTACCACTCCTCCCAAAACAATAACAATGCAAGGACCAAATGTAGTTACAGATAAATACATAGCCCGAGAGACTTCCATCATCACCGTGTGGAGTGAGTGAAACAATGTCTGAACTCTGAACAATGTAAAGCGCTTTGGGGGACCTTGGTCTGTAAAAATGTGCTATATAGATAAACAATACTTACTTACTTACTATTTATGGTATCTATCGACTGGTACTGCTACTACTACTGCCACTATTATACTGCTACTTTAATACTACTATTACTATACAACTTATTTATCTATGCACTGTAGAAAACCATAATTATTTATACATTTCAGACTTATGCAAAACTGAAACCGTCATCCTGAAAACGTAAGACAGGCTTCTGTTCTGACAATGTTAAAATTCAGGTTCTGTGTATCTGCTGTGCGTACAACTGAAGGATTGTAACTTCGCTCTTTTTTAATGTAGTGAGCTTATTTATGATTTTAAGGCCTTGTGTGATTGTTTCTATCTTGTTTTGTGAAGCACTTTGAGTTGCATTCTGTATGAACTGTGCTATACAAATACATTTGCCTTGCCTACATTATAATCCGTTTCAACCATACAAATGTGAACAGCAAATAGTCCAAATTGAACATAATGAGTTGTGGTGCTTAAAAAAACATATAATAAAGATGTCTATGCACAAAAACAGCTCTAAAAAATACTGCAACCACAGAAAATGGCTTATAATCTTCACGTAGGCTATAACTACCTAAAGATGTGCTCATGAACTTAGAATGTTGTATTAGAATAAATATTTACACATATATTGTCTGCGATGATACAGCAGTGTAAAAGGCCACACTCAGCTGCACACCAGCCCCATCTCTGCTTCTCAAACAAGGACACACATCCTGCAGACAGCAGAAACGCCCCAAACCCCACTGCACATATTCACAGCCCTAGCTCAAAATAATAAGAAATATAAGTTTTAATAAAATTGGCGGGGCCAGGTCGGGCTAAATGTATCTTTTAAATAATCTTTCCATTTGGAAAGTACATCTTATAAGATGTCTTTCAAATGGAATTTAAGGGATTTTAGCACAATATTCTTCCAATTCTGTGGGATTTCTGAGATGCCGTGCATGCCCAGCTCTGTTGGGGCAAATCCACAATTTTTCAAGTATGTAGCGCTCAGGCCTTTCTGTGTGGAGTTTTCATATTTGTCTAGGTGGGTTTTCTCCAAGCGCTCTTGTTTCCCCAACCACCAGAATCATGCCATGTAGGTATAAACTCTTTCAGCTCAAATTGAACAAAAGTTAATTTGCAAACTTCTAATGTTGTCTGATGAAGACCATAATTGTAGATGCATTGTTTCCCGCAGGATTAAATGTGTGAAAGTCAAAATATATGTTTGTATGATTGCAAGATTTTTTAAGACAAACATGAGATTCATCAGTATTTCAAAAACAGTATTTTTGCTCCACATCCAGCTGTGTCTGAGAGTCTGAGGAGCATTAACAGTGCAGCAGTTAACATGTTAACATGAATTCATGCAGGGACCAGATTCTAAATCATTTATCTTTCCCTCTGAGCAAATGCCTTGTGCCATTATCAGAGTGCTCAACAAATAGCGAAGTCTCACAATAAAGGTCTTTCGAGAAGTCTATAAATGCTTCTACTCTAATGAGAGCCACATTCATTATAGATTAGCATTTTCGTCAACATTTTATAAGGCTGTTGAAAGAAACATTTTTAAACACATTTGATGATTTATAATTAACCACTGCTTTACTGCGGCAGAACATCCTATATATACCTGACAGACTACAATTCCCAGGATGCACCAGTGATGCCTCTAAATTTATGAGCTCTTGGACCAGTCTATAAGTGCTTAGGAGATAAAAATAAATAAACAGAAGAAACCTGGGGACAGTTGTAAACATTGTAAAATTGATTTAAGCTTACATGCTGTTCCCTTTGTCCTGCGAGCTCAATGCTTTTCAAGTGATATGTTGGCACTGCAAGAAAATAATGCTCGTATTGACAAGACAAGCCAGCGTTTTCTTCCAATGGGATTTTGTTTAAGCTGTTAGGTTACGTAACTGTGTCCAAACAAGACTTTATGCTGTCAAGTTTCTCCCAATTTATTCTTTGAAGAGACGCCTTTGGTCTGAAAAAGGCTGTTTGTTCTAAGATTGTGCATCAGATCCAGGACAAGCTGGAATAGGAAATAAGGACTGACCTTCACAAAGATGCAAGATATAATAAATTCTCTCAAAACACAAACGGCTCGGTGATGTTTCAGCAAGTGTTCACAACTATTTATTTTTAACATCCCCTTACCATCAAAGGGATTATGTATCTTTGTTAAAAACCACTTTACGCATTCACACAACTCACAGGTATAATGGAAGACTTAAAACCCCTCATTTATCAATATAAATCTCACACGCATTGCAAATTCTCAAAGGTGCCTGTTTACTTTGTGTAATGATAATTCCTGTGGCAAAAGGCATGATAACAAAGCACATTATGAAGAAATATTATGAGTGGTCATTTGCTCTACTACTACTTTAGTTTGAAACCAAAGACAAACATTGTATACTTTAAGCCCAGGACTTTTAGAAACATACGGCCATTCAAAACAAGAACAGCAAATATTGATAAGAACGCTCTTTGAAGGTCAGTACCCATCCTACGGCAGACTCTGTATAATTTATCAACGTCAATATGGACAAGGTTCAGTCATGTCCAGGTTTACGTAATTTGGTTGTGAGGCACGGGAATTTGACATCACTCTTTGTCAGTTTTGTTATAAATAAATCACCAAACTCTACCGCCGAAAGTTTGTGACAAAGTATCGAGACCCTTATGGATCCAAATGGTAATGATTGGAGGACTGCAGCCGGACACAATGGTCTGGCATATCTGCAGAGAACACTCTTGTGCTGTGCTTGGCTTAAGACAGTGTGGAAGAAGGTGATTAGATAGTGTCCTTAAGCGACATTTTGAAAAACTAACTGCACTCAGAGGAAAAGAGGCTTGGACTTTGCATAAAAGCAAACTATTATTTGTCCGCACTTTTCACCTTTGTGGAGGATCATTATTATGCACGGGATATGGACTGTATGCTACTCCTAAACATTGCAAAAGGGTGGGTGAAAATAACGCTAAAATCAGTGTAAAACTGGGAACATAAAATTGGGTAATTAAAAAGGCATTTGAAAAGACCTCCCGATGGCATGATGCATGTTG